ACCAGGGTGGGACAAAGCTTTTCTCTGCTGGAGCTAGGTGTGAATGTTTCAACTGACCACCTTCATTAGCATTTGAAGGCCTGGCTGAGCCTGGGAAAATCTTTTGTTGAGAGGTGTTAAGATGTGCCTGGTTGTTTCCTCTCTGCTGTTTTGCTGTTGTAATTTTAGAGTTTTTTAATACTGGTAGCCAGATTTTGTTCATTTTCATGGTCTCTTCCATTCTGTTGAAATTGTCCACATGCTTGTGGATTTCAATGGCTTCTCTGTGTATCTGACATGGTAGTTGTTAAAATGGTCCAGCATTTCTGTGTTCTCAAATAATATGCTGTAAAAATGATATACACACACACAAAATAAATAAATAAAAACATAAATTATGTGTTGTTGTTCATTCGTTCAGTCGTCTCCGACTCTTCGTGACCTCATGGACCAGCCCACGCCAGAGCTCCCTGTCGGCCGTCACCACCCCCAGCTCCTTCAAGGTCAGTCCAGTCACTTCAAGGATCCATCCATCCATCTTGCCCTTGGTCGGCCCCTCTTCCCTTTCCCCAGCATAATTGTCTTCTCTAGGCTTTCCTGTCTCCTCATGATGTGGCCAAAGTACTTCAACTTTGTCTCTAGTATCTTTCCCTCCAGTGAGCAGTCGGGCTTTATTTCCTGGAGGATGGACTCGTTGGATCTTCTCGCAGTCCAAGGCACTCTCAGCACTTTCCTCCAACACCACAGCTCAAAAGCATCGATCTTCCTTCGCTCAGCCTTCCCTAAGGTCCAGCTCTCACATCCGTAGGTGACTACAGAGAATACCATGGCTTTGACTAGGCGGATCTTTGTTGCCAGTCTGATGTCTCTACTCTTCACTATTTTATCGAAACTGGACATTGCTCTCCTCCCAAGAAGTAAGCGTCTTCTGATTTCCTGGCTACAGTCTGCATCTGCAGTAATCTTTGCCCCTAGAAATACAAAGTCTGTCACGGCCTCCACGGTTTCTCCTTCTCTTTTCCAGTTGTCAATCATTCTTGTTGCCATAATCTTGGTTTTTTTGACGTTTAGCTGCAACCCGTCTTTTGCGCTTTCTTCTTTCACCTTGATTAGAAGGCTCCTCAGCTCCTCCTCGCTTTCGGCCATCAGAGTGGTGTCATCTGCATATCTGAGGTTGTTAATGTTTCTTCCAGCAATTTTCACCCCAGCTTTGCATTCATCAATCCCCGCACATTGCATGATGTGTTCTGCATACAAGTTAAAAAGGTTGGGTGAGAGTATGCAGCCTTGCCGTACGCCTTTCCCAATCTTGAACCAGTCTGTTGTTCCGTGGTCAGTTCTGACTGTTGCTACTTGGTCCTTGTACAGATTTCTCAGGAGAGAGACAAGGTGGCTTGGGATGCCCATCCCACTAAGAACTTGCCACAATTTATTATGATCCACACAGTCAAAGGCTTTAGAATAGTCAATGAAGCAGAAGTAGATGTTTTTCTGAAACTCCCTGCCTTTCTCCATTATCCAGCGGATATTGGCAATCTGGTCTCTCGTTCCTCTGCCTTTTCTAAACCCAGCTTGAACATCTGGCAACTCTCGCTCCATGTATTGCTGGAGTCTTCCTTGCAGGATCTTGAGCATTACCTTACTGGCATGAGAAATAAGGGCCACTGTACGGAAGTTTGAGCAGTCTTTCGCATTTCCCTTTTTTGGTATGGGGATATAAGTTGATTTTTTCCAGTCTGATGGCCATTCTTGTGTTTTCCATATTTGCTGGCAAATGGCATGCATCACCTTGACAGCATGATCTTTTAAGATTTTAAACAGTTCAGCTGGGATCCCGTCGTCTCCTGCTGCCTTGTTGTTAGCAATGCTTCTTAAGGCCCATTCAACCTCACTCCTCAGGATGTCTGGTTCTAATTCATTCACCACACCGTCAAAACTATCCTCGATATTATTATCCTTCCTATACAGATCTTCTGTATAGTCTCGCCACCTTCTTGATCTCTTCAGCTTCTGTTAGGTCCCTGCCATCTTTGTTTCTTATCATACCAATTTTTGCCTGAAATTTACCTCCAATGTTTCTAATTTTCTGGAAGAGGTCTCTTGTCCTTCCTATTCTGTTGTCTTCTTCCACTTCCCATGCATTGCTTATTTAAAAATAGTTCCTTATCTCTTCTGGCTAACCTCGGGAATTGCGCATTTAACTGGGCATATCTCCCCTTATCCCTGTTTCCTTTTGCTTTCCTCCTTTCTTGGGCTACTTCCAGTGTCTCAGCAGACAACCATTTTGCCTTCTTGGTTTTCTTTTCCTTTGGGACGTACTTTGTTGCCGCCTCCTGAACAATGTCGCGGACTTCTGTCCATAGTTCTTCTGGGACTCTGTTTACTAAATCTAGTCCTTCAAATCTGTTCTTCACTTCCACTGTATATTCGCTAGGAATTAGTGAGATCATATCTAACTGGTCTGTGTATTTTCCCTGATCTCTTTAGTTTTATTCTAAATTGAGCAATAAGAAGTTCGTGATCTGAGCTACAGTCAGCCCCAGGTCTTGTTTTCACCGACTGGATGGATGTCCGCCACCTTTGGCTGCAAAGAATGTAGTCAATCTGATTTCAGTGTTGACCATCTGGTGAGGTCCATGTATAAAGCCGTCTTTTAGGTTGTTGGAAGAGAGTATTCGTTATACACAGCGAGTTTTCCTGGCAGAATTCTATCAGCCTGCGTCCCGCTTCATTTTGTTCTCCCAGACCATGCTTGCCTGTGATCCCAGTTGTCATTTGACTTCCCACCTTGGCATTCCAGTCTCCTGTAATGAAAATAATGTCTCTTTTTGGTGTATTATCCAGTAGGTCCTGCAGATCCTCATAGAACTGATCTACTTCTGCTTCTTCAGCAGCTGTGGTTGGGGCGTATATTTGGATCACTGTAATGTTGAAAGGCCTTCCTTGCACTCGAATTGAGATCATTCTGTCATTTTTTGGGTTGTATCCAAGCACCGCTTTAGCGAATTTCTTATTAATTATGAAGGCTACTCCATTTCTTCGATGTTCCTCTTGTCCGCAGTAGTAGATCTGGTGGCCATCTGATGTGAAGTGGCCCATTCCAGTCCACTTCAGTTCGCTGACCCCCAGAATGTCTATCTTTAGTCTTGACATCTCGCCAATAACAACATCCAATTTGCCCTGGCTCATAGATCTTACATTCCAGGTTCCTATGGTGTGTTGATCTTTAGAGCATCGTGATTCGTCATTCACCTCCAGTACCGTCGGCCGCTAGCCTTCCTTTCGGCTTTGAGCTAGCTGCGTCATCACATCTGGGGCTAGTTGAACTTATCCTCTGCTCCTCCCCAGTAGCATTTTTGCCATCTTCCGACCTGGGAGTCCCATCTTCCAATGGCATACCGACATATCTCTGGTTGTACTGGTCCATTTAGTTTTCTTGGCAAGGATACTGGAGTGGTTTGCCATTGCCTTCCCCAGGGATCACGCTTGGTCTGACCTCTCTGCCACAACCGTCCCGTCTTGGGTGGCCCTTCACGGTTTCGCTCATGACATCATTGAGGTGCTCAAGCTCCAGCGCCCCGACAAGGCGGTGATCCTTTGCTGGAGAATAGATATACTACAATACCCAAATTGACATAGTTTTGAAAAGGTTGTCGTTGTACACGCTTGACTACTTGCATTCTAATTGATAGCTATCGGTTCTGTTTTGATTTCCTATCAGCATTTATAGTCTTTGGATTCACTAGATAGGAAAAGGACAATATATAAACAAAATGGTATACTAGAATGCCCAAACACCCCACTGTTTGAGGGGATTTTCAAAACCCATGTAAGTCTACTTACATTCCTGTAAGCAGCCTGGGCTCTGAGTGAGGAGTTCTGAATTGAGCAATTGTGATGGTAACAGGTGACTCTTAAGTAGGATAGAATGTTACAGGAAGCAAGTGTAATCTATTCTATCATTAAGCCCTTGGGGGATAAGTGTTTGTAATATGAAAATCCAAAATGACACTCTCTGTAACAAGTACCTTTTCACATCAGCATGAGGTTTAGGTGATACCTTCTCCAAAGATGGAACTGATGGCAAGACGGAACTGCCTTCATGGCCCCTCTCTTCTATAACTATAACTCCCATCATCCACTGTAAGGCCCTCCCAGGTCAACCAGTCTTTAACATTGGTTGGGGGGAGAGGGGTGTCTATGCCCCACGTTTGGTATCCATGGCCAGATCGCAGTTACTTGGTACAGGAAGAGAAATTCCTATGAGGAGCGGCTTAAGGAAGCTTGTCATGTTTAGCCTGAAGAAGAGAAGGCTGAGAGGAGACATGATAGCCATGTATAAATATGTGAGAGGAAGCCACAGGGAGGAGGGAGCAAGCTTGTTTTCTGCTGCCCTGGAGACTAGGACGTGGAACAATGGCTTCAAACTACAAGAAAGGAGATTCCATCTGAACATGAGGAAGAACTTCCTGACTGTGAGAGCTGTTCAATAGTGGAACTCTCTGCCCTGGAGTGTGGTGGAGGCTCCTTCTTTGGAAGCTTTTAAACAGAGGCTGGATGGCCATCTGTCAGGGGTGATTTGAATGCAATATTCCTGCTTCTTGGCAGGGGGTTGGACTGGATGGCCCATGAAGTCTCTTCCAACTCTTTGATTCTATGATTCTTAATTCCATCTAAACATTAGGAAGAACTTCCTGAAGTTAAGAGTTGTTTGACAGTGGAACATGCTGCTGCCTTGGAGTGTGATCGAATCTCCACCTCTGGAGGTTTTTTTAAACAAAGGTCGGGTGGCCATCTGTTCGGAGAGCTTGAATTGTGTCTCTCCTGCTTGGTAAAATGGGACTGGATGTCCTTTGGGGTTCTCTTGCAACTCAAGGATTCTGTGAGAGATGGACTTATTCCACTCTTACCGCCCTTTGAGAAGGCAAAGGAATAGATTTTTGGAGAGATTCCATCCAAAGTGAATTTTTATTCTATTTCCCCCCTCTACATTTCATTATTTTGAATTCTGTTCCATTCAGGAATATGTCTCTTCACTGCCTGAATTGCCTGTATTGAGTCGTTTCATTGGATAAGGAAAGAACAGCAGCCCTTTGCTCCTGCACATTCAGAGCAAGGTCATCCGACTCTTACGTTCAAGGAGCACTAGTGACTTTTAGTTCTAGAACTGGTTTGGTTTGAAGAGAGGAAGGGGATGGAGGAGCTGAATCCCACAAGTCTGCAGCTGGAGCAAGGAATGCAAAGAGAAGGAGGGAAAGCTGGAAGCAGGATTCAGTCCAAATATGTGCCTAACGGGCCAATGTGGAAAGCGGTGGAAGAATGTAATGAGCTTCCAGGTCAACGGATGCAGCTCTGGGAAACCCAATGGCAGGAGTTCCTGAAGACCCTCCAGTCACCTTCCTCAGCATGGGGAAACCTTCCATCAGCCGAGCAAACGCCGTGGGACGAGGCCAAGGCCTTCCTGGCCTCCTTTGAGCAAGTGGCCAAAGCCTGTCGGTGGCCAAAGGAAGAGTGGGCGGCCCGACTGTTGCCCGCATTGAGCGGAGAAGTAGAGCAGGCCTTTTGGAGCCTGGAAGCTGGAGACAGGAATGATTATGAGAAAGTGAAGGCAGCCATCTTGAGAGCGGAGGCCCTGAGAGTGGAGCTACAACGCCAGCACTTTCGGCAGTTCTGCTGCCAAGAGGTGGAGGATCCACGAAGGGTTTACAGCCAAGTCCAGGAGCTTTGCAGTCGGTGGCTGAAGCCGGAGAGACGCAGCAAGGAGCAGATCCTGGAGCTGCTGGTCCTGGAGCAATTCCTGGCCAGTCTTCCCCAAGACCTGCAAGGATGGCTCCGAGGCACAGGGCCGGAGACCTGTTCCCAGGCTGTGGCCCTGGCAGAGGACTTCCTCCTCAAGAGGCAGCAAGAGACCAATTCAACCCAGTGGCAGGTGAGGCTCCAAGCACTAATGAAGCCGAGGCTGCATGGCCATCTGTTGGGAGTGCTTTAATTGTATTTTTTTTTGCATGACAGAATGGGACTTGGATTAGACAGAGCTTCTTAAAATTTTGCATGAGCAACCCCTTTCCACCTGACAAATTTCTGCATCACCTGGGTATATATGTATGTATACTATATCTCGGGTTTATAAAATATTTACTGATAAAAAATCAAGGAGCCCCCGGTGGCGCAGTGGGTTAAACCCCTGTGCCGGCAGGACTGAAGACCGACAGGTCGCAAGTTCGAATCTGGGAAGAGGCGGATGAGCTCCCTCTGTCAGCTCCAGCTCCTCATGCGGGGACATAAGAGAAGCCTCCCACAAGGATGATAAAACATCAAAAACATCAGGGTCCCCTGGGCACTGTCCTTGCAGACGGCCAATTCTCTCACACCAGAAGCGACTTGCAGTTTCTCAAGTCGCTCCTGACACGACAAAAAAAAAAGCATTTTCAAGGCTTGCTAAACAGGCTGGCTTTCCTTTTTATGAAGTACATCTTCTGCAGAGTTCACGGTAAGCACTGCAAACAGGTTTGGGTTTAAAACAGTCACTAGGTGGCATTCAGAAAACTTCCAGTGTCAAATTTTCTATGATCCCAACATTCAGCGAAAGGGATGGCATTTGGTGAGGCTCCAAGGGCTATTGAAGCAGAGGCTGGGTGGTCATCTGTTGGGAGTGCTTTGATTTTCTTTTTATGAAGTACAGGTGAACCATTTTTTGCAGAGTCCACTGTAAACACTGCAAACAGATTCGGCTAAATGTCTAAAACAGCCAGTAGGTGGCGGTCAGGAAACATCTATTGCCAAATTTTCCGTGACCCCGACACAGCTAAAGGGACCCCATTTGGGGTCAGGACCCACAATTTACGAAGCGGTGGACTAGATGAGCCTCTTCCAAGTCTACAGGGTTTTTTAAATCTATGTCAAACAAAACCAAATCTAAAACAAGAACACTAAACTGAGACAATTCCTTTTCCTTCCCTTTGTTTCCAAAATCTCTCTTCCTGTTTCTCAGGGACCATCACTGGATGTGCGTGTTGGGTCCCTGGAGGCGGAAGGGAAGTCGCTACATGCTGCTCAGGGGCAGATCTATGAAGAAGCCAAGCCGGTGAAGGAGGCCGAGATCCCTTTGCTAGGTAAGGCTTCACGGGTCTGTGAGAATGAATGTGCCACATGTACACGTACGCTGTAGAACTCATGTAGTCTTTAATGAATATGGCTCAGTACTATGGGATCATGGGGGTGGTAATTTAGGGAGGCATCAGCTCTCTTTGGCAGAGAAGGATAAATACCTTGTAGAACTACAAACATGACTCATGGGGTGAAAAGGTGTGTGAGTGATTTCTTTTTGAATAAATGGAGAGGAGGGTAGGTTGCACTTGCCCAGCATCTGCCTTTGACTCTGTCCAACCCGTTTGCGTTCTAAGAGGAAGAATTCCCATTTATTCTTTGCAGGTGGTGGAATCAAAGGCCCAAGTCCTTCCATTTCAGTGTTTCCTCCTGAAGTACAAATTAAGACAGAAGATGGGCTGGATGAGGTATGTAATCTCATTTAGTCATGTCCAAATCTAAAGTATTAGCCTGCAATAACAATAATCACGGCTAATAATAACAATAAGGGATCATCTAGGTTTCTTATAGACCACAAGCTGAACATGAACCAATTGTCTGATGTGGCAGCTAAAATGGCCAATGCAGTTCTAGGTTGCACCTATAGGAGTTGAGTGTCTTGATCGAGGGAAGTCATAGTCCCACTCTAATCTGCTTTGGTGAGACCCCACAAAAGTACGTCCTTGATATCTGCTAGTATTTGATTCCATAACCCTCCATGGATACCACGGATAGCTTCATGGCTAACAGTTTATTTAATTGTTCTTCTGGATTCTGAATGCTACTTTCAAGAACCCAAATACAGACTGCGGAAAGTTCACTCTGTCAGCTCATTGCTATAGAACTTGGGCCTTCCAGGTGTTTTGTGCTTCAACTCCCACAATACCTGGAGAACCATGCCTGTTTGCCCATGCCTGTTCTAGATAGAAAATGCTATTGGGCTTGTGGCGTTGTCAGATTGTCTGTGACACCAACATTGAGCAAAAGGTACCCCGTTGTTGGGCAAGTGTGGTATTTGCAAAAGACCCTCCTCATAAATGCAGAGCAGAGTAACTTATTAGCAGCAGCGTGACCCAGCACCAGTACCCCAAAGTGATAAAAAGAGCAAAAAACACACTAATGTTATTGCTTCCTTATGAGGCTTTTCTTTGTAGCAAAATAATATGGTTGCACTTCAGTAGAGTCTCGGTTATTTAACCTTTGCTGATCTGACACTTCATATTATCTAACAATCCTACTCCCCCCCCCCCCAAAAAAAAAAAAAAACCAGCATGCACAAACCGTCCCCGCTGCTCCAGGCAGCAAGGCACTGTGGCGCAAAAAAAGTGCACACTGGGTGGGAACGACCGGCTTGCACCAGCCGTGTCCCACCCCTCCGGATGGATGCCACCACCACCTTTGCCACCAGGACCTGGCCCGGTGAGTGAGGGAGAGCGGGTGAGTGAGCAAGTGAGGGAGGGAGGGCTTCAAAGGCAGCAGCAGTGGCAGAACCAGGAACCTGGCCTTCCCTTCTTGCTTCCTCTGGGCTCCCGCTCCCTACCTCACTCGTCCCGGCAGCAAAGGCAGTGGGTGGTGCTGTCACCTTTGCTGCTGGGATGAGCGTGGTAAGGAGTGGGGGCCCGAAGGAGGCAGGAAGGGGAGGCCAAGCTTCTGGTTCACCCACCGCTGTCGCCCCCACCTTTGCTGCCGGTACCCATCCCAGTGCATGAGTGAGGGAGGGAGAAAGTGGGGTAAGGAGCTGGGGCCTGAAGGAGGCAGGAAGGGGAGGTTAGGCTCCTAGTTTTGCCGCCGCTTTTACCGCTGGGATGAGCGGGGTAGGGAGCTGTAGCCCGAAGGAGGCAGGAAGGGGAAGCCCCAGAAGAAATGGGGGCCCTGCTGCTTCCCTCCCAAACAGCAACACACAGCAAACCCCCTTGCACACCAAGCGCCTGCTGAGAGGGACAGGACGCGATTGGTGCGGGCCAGACGCACGCACCCTGGTGGACCTGTTGGGCTTGATCCCCACACCGTGGCGCCTTACCGCCCCTCCCAATGGGCGCCCAGCACATGGAAGGGCCTGCTGGGTGCTACTCCTTTTCTGAACAGCGTGTTTTTTTTCAAACAGCAAGACGCAGCAAACCCCCCCGTGCATCAAGCGCCCGCCACAGTGCCACACCACCGGGAGCAGCAAGAACAGGTGTGGCCACACTCCCAAAGAAGCAGCGGACCCCTCTCACCACAGGTGCACACATGGTCCTTTTCTTCCGCAAGTGTGGCAACGAAAAGAAAGAAGGTTGTTGTCTCAATGGAACAGAAACTTGAGGCAATCAAGAGACTGGACAAAGGAGAGATGATGCAGAAGGTAGCCAACGAGTATGGCGTGGCACGGGTCACTGTAGGAGAATGGAAAAAAAACAGATTGGAGATAGAAAAATGGTGTTCCTCCAGAGTTACTGATGGTGCACTAAAAGAGAGGAAAACAATGAAAAAGTGTCGCTATGAAAAAGTCAGTGAAGCTTTGTATGTTTGGTTCATACATTTCAGAGACAAAGGCGTGCCTATTTCAGGACCTATTTTGCAGCAATTGGCGTTGCATTTTCGAAAGGAATTTAATGAAGGGGACCTAGATTTTACAGCAAGCAGTGGTTGGCTCGACAGGTGGAAGAAACGTTATGGAATCCGTCAGTTCAGTGTTTGTTGTGAGAAGCTGTCATCAAATGATCAAGAACTGGAGGCATTCAAGAAAAAATTTCAAGACTTTGTTGAAACTGAAAGCCTAACGGGTGATCAGATTTTTAATTGTGATGAGACCGGCCTCAGTTACAAAATGTTACCCAGTTGGAGTCTTGCAGCCAGAACGGAAGCAGCATCCCCTGGCTATAAGCATAGTAAAGAAAGGCTGACCATTTTAGCATGTAGCAATGCTACAGCAAACCACAAAATGGACCTTGTAATGATTGGGAAGTCTAAATATCCAAGCGCCTTTGAAGCAATTTCAAATAATGCGCTTCCTGTAAAATACTACAGCCAAAGAAGTGCGTCAATGACCAGTGAAATTTTCAAAGACTGGTTTTTAAAGGAATTTGTTCCTTCCACGGAGAAATTTTTGAAAGAAAAGGACCTCCCCAGAAAAGCGGTTTTGTTGCTAGACAACGCCCCGACGCACCCTGATGCAGAGGAGCTTCAAGATGGGGACATTAAGGCTATTTTTCTGCCACCAAATGTAACCGCCATATGCCAGCCAATGGAGCAGGGCGTTTTGGTAACGCTCAAAAGGAACTATCGCAGGAATCTACTGTCGACAATGATAGACGAAATTGAAGGAGGGCAAGACATGATTGAAAAATTGAAACGCATCAATGTCAAAGAAGTTGCTTATTGGGTTGCAAGGGCCTGGACGGACGTTAGGGCTCCAACAATTGCCAGAGCATGGAAGACATTATTAGGCGGAGATCAAGATGACATTATAAAAAGGGAAAGCACAGATGAATCCGAAGAAAGCATTCTACCCTTAGTACAGCATATCCCCGGGTGTGAGAATGTGTCTTTGCAAGAAGTGGAAAGTTGGATGAACGATGACGATCAGTATGAAATAACTGATGAAGACATTGTCGCTCTTGTCAATAGTGATGGCGATGGTGACGAAATTGATGACCAAGCTTGAACTGTCGAGCCGCTCAGAATCTAACACAAGGATGGGGTTAGGGCTCTAGAAACCGCAGTGACATACATCGGGCAACAAGAAGCTACGGGGATCAACGTAATGATGCTGCAAAGATGGCAAGACTTGGCAGCAAAGAAATAGCTATTGTTGGGAAAGTAGGCAAGGATCACAGATTTTTTTTAAGTTGCACTGGTCAGTCGTAAGGCCGAACAGGGGATAGGGTTACAGCCTGTGCTGGATGGGGTTACACTCCCCCTGAAGGTGCAGGTTTGCAGTTTGGGAGTGATCCTGGATTGATCGCTGAGCCTGGAACCCCAGATCTCAGCGGTGGCCAGGGGAGCTTTCGCACAATTGAAACTTGTGTGCCAACTTTGCCCGTACCTTGGGAGGGTGGACTTGGCCACGGTAGTCCACGCTCTGGTTACATCCCAAATAGATTACTGCAACAAACTCCACGTAGGGTTGCCTCTGAAGACTGTTTGGAAGCTTCAGCTAGTCCAATGCTCAGCAGCCAGTTTGCTCACAGGAGCGTGATATGGAGAGCACACAATGTCTTTGCTACGCCAGCTCCACTGGCTGCCTATTAGCTTCCGAATACAATTTAAAGCCCTTACCACTTCTGGCCCAGTTTGTCCAAACGTATCTCCCGCTATGAACCACCTAGGACCTTAAGATCGTTCGGGGAGGCCCTGCTCGCTGTCCATCGCAATCGCGACTGGTGGGGACAAGAGACAGGGCCTTCTCTGTGGTGGCCCCTTGGCTATGGAATTCCCTCCCAAGTGAAATCAGATCCGCTCCTTCCCTCCTGACCTTCCATAAAAAGGTGAAATCCTGGCTGTGGGATCAGGCGTTTGCAGACTAGACCAATATGATGGTAGACCTGTGGTTTAATGGACTTGAATTGACTATGTGTAGGACAACGATTTAATTCTGATGATTGTTCTAATGTTTTACTGTTTTTATAATGTTTTTTATAATGTTTTATACTGTTTTTATCTAAGATGTATATTTATACTTTTGTTGTCAATCACCCTGAGTCGCTCTGTGGAGGTCGAGATAGGACGGGATATAAATATCCTAAATAAATAAATATTTTTTTACGGATTTAACTTCTGACAATTTTGTTACTGTAAGTTCAATTTATACTATTCTATCTTTCTTTGTAGTCAATTTTCAATGTTAACTTCAATACATTTTCAATACATTGTGACATTTTGGTGCTAAATTTGTAGATACAGTAATTACTACATAACGTTACCGTGTATTGAACTGCTTTTTCTGTTGATTTATTGTAAAAAATGATGTCTTGGTGCTTAATTTGTAAAATCATAACATAATTTGACATTTAATAGGCTTTTTTGGATCCCTCCCTATTATCCAACATTTTCACTTATGTTCTGCTGGTCCATTTATGTCGGATAACCGAGACTGCTGTATTTACAAGGTTTCCATAACACAAATAAAATTCTTTATACTTCCTTCTTTGCTTCCACACTGGGCTTCTTTCTCATGCAGATAAAAAGCTTTGCTCTCACAGAGCTTCCTCTCACATTGAACTTACACAGGAGTTTCGCATTGTAGCTTTTCACACACAGCAGATTTCACACTGTAGCTTCACATACAAGATCTTCAACCAGGGCTTCTCTCACCGAAGTTTCTTACCCCAGGCCTTCTAATACCAGGCCTTTCACATACTGAGGCCTACTAACTCTGAGGCCTACCTGTTGCATACCAGAGCAGGAACATCTCTGTCCTTAAAATGCCACACCAGTAGAGTAAAATGAGCAAGCGGTTTATTGAAGGATATATAAAGGCAAAGCAATAAAAATGATAAAAAAATAGTAATCCAAAACAGTATTTTCCAAAGGGTACAGATAGTTCATGAATTTCAGGATACAAAGGTAAAAACACAAGATCCAAAGATGCAAAACCCAAAAGAACAAGATAGCATAGAGATCCAATGCCCAAAACAAACCTGGCAAAACTTAAAACATGAAATTAAAAATCCACTTGGAGACAAGACCATCATGAAACTCCAATATTAACGAGACTGAGCTAAAATCCTATGCTCATATCATATAAAGCTTTTCCTGCCCCATGAACCGAAAGGAAAGCATTTTGTTTACCCTTAAAGCCACATAAGGATTTCTTGTCTCTTTTCCAGCAGACAGATGGACTAAGATGATCTTGAGAACTTTGTCTTAGTTTACAAAAGTCTTGTTTTCTATATTCAAACTTGTTAAATTCTGCATCTGACAAATCATCCTCAGAAGACAGATTCTCAGCAAAAAAAACTGCTGTGGGTCTCTCCCAGGAATTTGACCTTGGGAATCTCTAGGAAAAGCACTCTGTTCATGAGAGACCTTGGACCTCTCAACAAGGTCTGGGCTTGACTCAGGCTCAGAAAAATCCTCATCCCCATTGACATCAAACACAGGCCCAAGAAAACCATCATCCCCATTGACATCAGACACAATCACAAGCTGAACTACAACACTACCTCACACTGAGGCTACTAACGCTGAGGTCTCTCTCAGACTGGGGCACCTCTCAGAAAAGAACAAAAAACACACAGACCAATGTTATCTCTTCCTTAAGAGGCTTTTCTTTATAGCAAAATAATACGGTTGCACGTGATCTCTTAGACTGAAGCCTCTTCATACTGAGGGCAACTAACATACTATGCTACAGGCACACCGGCTTATATTGAACTGCACCTTTCAGCGCTTGACTCACATTTTTGTAATTAAAAATACCTAGTTAATTTTTAATATTTCTGACAAATGCAAGAGGAACGTCAGCACATTTAAGGATGCATCTACACCAGTGGTTCTCAACCTGGGGGTTGGGACCCCTGGAGGGGTCGCGAGGGGGTTTTAGAGGGGTCGCCAAAGACCATCAGTAAACACAACATTTTCTGTTGGTCATGGGGGTTCTGTGTGGGAAGTTTCACCCAATTCTATCATTGGTGCGGTTCATAATTCTCTGATTGTAGGTGAACTATAAATCCCAGCAACCGATATACATCCTGCATATCAGATATTTACATAATAACAGTAGCAAACTCCTGAATGGCAAAGTCTATTTTCACCAAACTCCACCAGTGTTCATATTTGGGCATATTGAGTATTCATGCCAAGTTTGGTCCAGATCTATCATTGTTTGAGTCCACAGTGCACTCTGGATGTAGGTGAACTACAACTCCAAAGCTCAAGGTCAATGTCCACCAAACCCTTCCAGTATTTTCTGTTGGCCATGGGAGTTCTGTGTGCCAAGTTTGCTTCAATTCCATCATTGGTGGAGTAAAGCGTGCTCTTTGATTGTAGGTGAACTATAAATCGCAGCAACTACAACTCCCAAATGACAAAATTAATTCCCCCAACCCCACCAGTATTCAAATTTGGTCCAGTGATGAAAATACATCCTGCATATCAGATATTTACATAATAACAGTAGCAAAGTTGCAGATATGAAGTAGCAACAACAATAATTTTTTGCTTGGGGGTCACCACAACATGAGGAACTGTATTAAAGGATCGTGACATTAAGAAGGTTGAGAACCACTGATCTATACTGTAGAGTTAATGCAGCGGAAGCACAAGCAGATCAGTTTCTATGTCAGTGCTGTTGCGCATGAGGAGGGCCTGACTGTTATGTTGATGGGCATGTCTTGCATTTCCAGGGTCTCCTGGACTGCAGGGACTCAGGCGTCTCTTTGCAGAGGGTTGAGCAGACACTGTCCCACCCGGACCAACAGACCATCAACTCGCAAGTCCTGCAGGAGAATGGCGGAAATGCCCAGCCGTTTGGTAAGGGCAGCTCAGATCCATGACACGTCACGTTATGAAATTGAGGCCCCTTTTCCACACATCTGTATAAAGTTCACATTAAACTGGGTTATAAGGCAGTGTGGACTCAGATAACCCAGTTCAAAACAGATTATCTGCCTCGATATTCTGGGTTATATGGCTATATGGAAAGGTACTGAGAGGAAAGGAAGCTGCAGAGATAGGTTCAAGTACCATATATATATATATATATAGAGAGAGAGAGGTCCTCCACACTTACAGACGGTATAATGTATGGATTTAATTGAAATGTTCTCTTTAGGAATCTTTAGATCCCCGATACACCGGGATTGTGGCGCAGCTGGCTGAGTGTCAGCTGCATTAAGATCACTCTGACCAAAAGGTCATGAGTTCGAAGCCAGCCCGGGTTGGAGTGGGTTTTCAACCAATTGTGTAGCCCGTTGTCGACCTTTGCAACTCGAAAGACAGTTGCATCTGTCAAGTAGGAAAATAAGGTACCACCTTAAAGTGTGGGGAGGTTAAATTAACTAATTTATGAGGACATAAAAAAAGACTTCAGCAAAAGCATGCGGGGAATGCGGAAGTACTTCATCAGTGTCGCAAATGGACAATGAAAGCGACAGCTCCCCTGGTGGCCAGAAAAAGTTAAATAGCCTCTGTCTATGTCTATATACGTTGTATGTCAAAATTGGCATTGAATGTTTGCCATATATGTGTACACTGTAATCCGCCCTGAGTCCCCTGTGGGGTGAGAAGGGCGGAATATAAAAGCTGTAAATAAATAAATAAATATGATTCTGTGACCAGCTTCCAGCAGACCTTGACCACATAGTTGTGCTGCAGGACCTAGGCATTCTTAAAAAGGAGGCAGTTTGGAGCAAAGGCCTCCTGAGCATGGACAGAATTTCTCCCTCTTTGTCTACAGGTGAGGGGGAGGCAACTTCGCTTAGAGTGCAGGCGTCTCAGCATGGAGGGGATGAGCCGGAGCAGAGGCCCGAGGCAGTGCCACTCGTAAACCAAGAAGACGAACCGTTGACGTGTGAAGAAAGAAGTGAGACGTGTGAAGAAAGAAGTGAGTCCAAGGGGGGAGAGGAAGGGGCTTCTGTGACCTCCAAAGGAGTCAAGAAGTCTAGGCATTTCTTGTGGCAGGAATAGGCTAAACAAAACCACGAGACATTAATTTGGGGAAGGTTTTTGTTCCCCAAATGTGGTTAAAGGGATTGTCACAGAGTCTCCTAGGGAAGATTGTCTCAAAAGGTTATTAATTTATCGTGTCAGGAGCAAAACAAACAGTTGTATTGTATTTAAAAACAAAAAAGAAAAACCACAAAGTTTGCAAACTTGGCATTCTATTAAATGTCCTTTGACCGGTAACTGGCCACATGGAGTGCCTCTGGTGTTGCTGTGAGAAGGTCCTCCGTTGTGCATGTGGCAGGGCTCAGGTTGCATTGTAGTAAGTGGGCTGTGTTTTGCTCTTTTCCGCACTCGCATGTCATCGACACCATTTTGTGACCCCATTTCTTAAGGTTGGCTCTGCATCTTGTGCCAGAGCGCAGTCTGTTCAGCACCTTCCAAGTCGCCCATTTTTCTGTGTGCCCAGGAGGGAGTCTCTCATTTGGTATCAGACATGGATTGAGGTTCTGAGTTTTAGCCTGCCACTTTTGGATTCTCGCTTGCTGAGGTGTTCCAGCGAGTGTCTCTGTAGATCTTAGACCCTCATCGACATCATCAAAGGATGCATAAAAGAAATAAATGGTAGATACATGCAAGGAAAGCTGTATTCATGAAATAAATGCAGGAAAAGTGAAAAGATCATTCATAGACAATGGAGAATTCGTATTGAAGGGAAACCTAGGTGTCCTAAATGTTGAGAAAACCTCTTTCTGAGATCAAATTTGTTAAACTATCAGAAACATTGTATTGAAGATAAATCTCATGAATACCCAGAACATGTGAGAGAAACATATTTTTTTTTAAAAAAAGTGAATTATACCCACATCAGGAGGGAAAAGAAACTCTGATTGTCCTGATTATAGAATAATTATGTCCAGCAAAACCCACTGAATAGCCCCTGGTGAAGGAAGCCAAGTTTGCCTTCTTTATCTTTAATTACTTTCCTTTTAGAGGCTGGAACAGAAATGGAAAAACACATTTTCTCAAAGCAAAAGTGAAAAGTACAGGGGTCGCCTAAGACCATCGGAAAACACATATTTCCAATGGTGTTAGGAAACAAGACACTGCTCTCTATCCGCCTCCAGGCAGGTCCGCCCACGTGCAAATACACCCACAGAAGAGTACCCAACATGATGACTATAAATATCGGTCGTAAATAAATAAATAAATAATCGAGCCAACCCCATCACATACACACCATGCAAATAAAGGTGTATGTGACATAGTTGGCACCATAATGTACTTATGCGGACCAATCACATATGTATTTGTATTGTCGAAGGCTTTCATGGCCGGAATCACTGGGTTGTTGTAGGTTTTTCAGGCTGTATGGCCATATTCTAGAAGCATTTTCTTCTGACGTTTCGCCTGCATCTGTAACAAGCATCCAACAGATAAGGTCTGTTGGAAACTAGAAATATTGTGTTTATATATCTGTGGAAAGTCCAGGGTCAGCTAACAATCTCCCAAAGGATCCCTCCAGGCAGGAAGCAGCCAGGCTTTGAAGCTGCAAGGCCATTCAATGGTAATCAAGCTGGCCAATTGCAACATGCACACCTGCTTCAAGCAGACAAGAGTTCTTTCTCCCACTTTGGAGATTTCACAGATATATAAACCCCACTTGCCTAGTTTCCAACAGACTTCACAACCTCCGAGGATGCTTGCCACTGATGCAGGCGAAACGTCAGGAGAAAGTGTATCTAGAACATGGCCATACAGCCCGAAAAACCTATTACAGCCTAGTTTTAGTTTTTTGTATCAGGAGCAACTTGAGAAACTGCAAGTCACTTCTGTGTTGAGAGCAGCAACATTGGAGGTAAAACGACAGTTCATGAATTATAATTACTGGGTAAATGTAAAATCATGTACTGTGAAATCAAATACTGCAAAAAAAACTGTACCATGGGAACTTAATCTGGATGCTGATTGGTCTTTTTAAGTTCCGCTGTGGTTGATGTCAATACTGCCCCCTTGTGATAGTAACAGATATAAAAAAATAACACAGAGAAAAATTTTTTCATGTCAGAAGCGACTTGAGAAACTACAAATCGCTTCTGGTGTGAGAGAATTGGCCGTCTGCAAGGACGTTGCCCAGGGGACGCTTGGATGTTTTACCATCCTTGTGAGAGGCTTCTCTCATGTTCCCACATGGGAAGCTGGAGCTGACAAATGGGAGCTCACCCTGCTCCCCAGATTCGAACCGCCAGCCTTTTGGTCAGCAGTATTGCCAGCACAAGGGCTACACAGAGAATAGTAAATCATAGGAAACTTTAATGAACTGTACTGACTGAACTATGGCATGTATCATGTTTTGTAATAATAAAGCTATTGTTATATATTATTTTCTTTAGGAAACCATCCCATGACAATGGATCGTGTAGAGAAGAACGTTAAGAAAAGAAAATATCGTGAGGATTATTTACAGTATGGTTTCACCTCAGTAATTATAGCAGGAGTCGAGAAACCGCAATGTGTTATTTGTTGTGAAATTCTAGCAGCGGAATCGATGAAGCCCAACAAACTCAAACGCCATTTTGATTGCAAGCACCTCAGCTTTGCCGGCAAGGATGCCAGCTATTTCAGAAGCAAAGCTGATGGACTCAAGAAAGCCAGAGTTGACACTGGTAGTGAGCGCCGCAAACAAAACGTATCAGCCCTTGAAGCTTCATATTTGGTGGCGCTCAGAATTGCCAGATCTATGAAACCTGACACCATTGGTGAGGATTTGCTGTGGCCAGTGGCCAAAGACATTGTTCAAGTGATGATCGGAGAAGAATTTGTTACGAAACTGAGTGCAGTTTCCTTATCCAATGACACTGTCCGCAGAAGAATACATGACATGTCTGCTGATATTCTTGATCAGGTAATCCAGGAAATTAAATCTGCTCCACTTCCAATATTTAGTATCCAGCTTGACGAATCTACAGATGTTGCAAACTGTTCACAGTTAATGGTTTACGTGAGATATATTCATGATGGCGACTTTAAAGACGAGTTTCTTTTCTGCAAAGCTCTTGAAATGACAACGACTGCATGTGAGGTATTTGACACAGTTGATTCGTTTCTGACAGAGCAAAACATCTCTTGGGAAAAAGTTTGTGGTGTTTGCACAGATGGTGCTCCAGCTATGCTAGGATGTCGATCCGGATTTCAACGTTTGGTACAGAACAAATCACCAAAAGTCATCGGAACTCACTGTATGATTCACCGGCAAATATTAACAACGAAGACGCTGCCGCAAGAGTTGCAAGAAGTAATGAAAAGCATCATAGGTTCTGTCAATTTCGTAAAGGCGAGCACGTTAAACAGTCAATTGTTTTCACAACTGTGCAGCGACTTGGATGCACCAAACAACGCTCTGCTATTTCACACTGAAGTGAGATGGATGTCGACAGGGAAAGTTTTAAAACGTATTTTTGAGCTTCACGACGAGCTCAAGACGTTTTTCCACCAGAAAGCAAAACCGCAATATGAAGCAATTTTCAGCGATAAGAGCGAACTGCAGAAAATAGCTTACTTGGTTGACATCTTTGCCATCTTGAACGAGTTCAATTTATCGCTGCAAGGAGCAAATTCAACGTGCCTCAATTTGTCCGAAAAGGTCCGATTGTTCCAAAAGAAACTTCAGCTTTGGCAAAAAAAATTGGACGAAAGCAAAATCTACATGTTCCCTACCTTATCTTCTTTCTTGGAGGAACACGACATTGAACCGGACAAAAGTATTGCGATGATAAATTCGGTGAAAGAACACTTGGGCATGCTTGCAGATGAAATTTCGTCATACTTTCCGAATTTATTTGACGCCCCATTTGCACTGGCCAGGAACCCATTCACAGTCAAAGTTGAAGATGTTCCTGAGGCAGCACAAAAGGAGTTCGTTGAACTTATTAACAGCGCTGCAGCGCGAACTGATTTCTCTACGATGCCAGTTACAAAATTCTGGATCAAGTGTTTGCAGTCATATCCTGTTTTGTCCGAGACCGTGTTGCGCCTTCTTCTTCCATTTCCAACAACCTATCTGTGTGAAACCGGGTTTTCCAGCTTGTTGGTTATCAGGTCTAAGTTCAGAGGTAGACTTGTTGTGGAAGATTATCTTCGTTGCGCTCTTGCAAAGACTGCCCCGAGAATTTCTGATCTGGTGAAAAAGAAGCAATCTCAACCTTCACACTGACATTGGCTTTTTACTGTTGCAAACTGTTGTAAAGTAGATTACTGTTGTTATATTAAGACTATTACCCATGCTACACTGTGCTTTAAAACAGTGTTTTTTCAACCTGGGGGTCAGGACCCCTGGGAAGTCACAAGGGGGTGTCAGAGGGGTTGACAAAGACCATCAGAAGCATAGTATTTTCTGTTGCTTATAGGGTTTGACCCAATTCTATTGCTGGTGGAGTTCAGAATGCTCTTTGATTGTAAGTGAACTATAAATCCCAGCAACTACCAACTCCCAAATGTCAAGATTTAATTTCCACAAACTCCACCAGTGTTCACATTTGGGCATATTGAGTATCTGCGCCAAGTTTGGACGAGATCCATCATTGTTTAAGTCCATAGTGCACTCTGGATGTAGGTGAACTACAACTCCAAAACTCAAGGTCAATGCCCACCAAACCCCTTCCAGTATTTTCTGTTGGTCACGGGAGTTCTGTGTTCTATGTTTGGTTCAATTCCATCATTGGTGGAGTTCAGAATGCTCTTTGATTGTAGGTGAACTATAAATCCCAGCAACTACAACTCCCAAATGTCAAGGTCTTATTTTCCCCAAACCCCATCTGTGTTCATATTTGGGCATATGGAATATTCGTGCCAAGTTTGGCCCAGATCCATCATTATTTGAGTCCACAGTGCTATCTAGATGTAGGTGAACTACAACTCCAAAACTCAAGGCCAATGCCCACCAAACCCTTCCAGTATTTTCTGTTGGTCATGGGAGTTTGTGTTCCATGTTTGGTTCAATTGCATCGTCGGTGGAGTTCAGAATGCTCTTTGATTTTGAGTTGACTATAAATCCCAACAACTACAACTCCCAAATGACAAAATCAACCCCCTCCACCAATCCCGCTAGTATTCAAATTTGGGCATATTGGGTATTTGAGCCAAATTTGGTCCAGTGAATGAAAATACATCCTGTATATACACGACAATTCATAACAGTAGCAAAATTTCAGTTATGAAGTTGGGATGAAAATAATGTTATGGTTGGGGGTTACCACCACATGAGAACTGTATTAAGGAGTTGCGGCATTGGGAAGGTTGGGAACCACTGCTTTAAAACAAATTTTCATTTATTTGTAATTAGAAATAAATATTTCACAATCTATAATTACATAATTTTTTTGGTGATTTAATTATTTAATTATTTTTTTTTAAAATTATTAAATAATTGATTTAATTAATAATTAATTTAATTAATTTTTAATTTAATTATGTTCAATGAAAATACATTGAACTCCAGGCAGCAAACAATCAAGTGCCAATTAATGCTTCCCGAACAGAGCATGCTTTCAGGCAACAGAGGCCAAGATACCCTCACTGATTGACTTTGCAGCTTTATGGCTACTCAACGCTATTCAATCTTGCTAATTGCAACATTCACACTTGCTTCAAACAGACAAGGGTTCTTCCTCCTACCCTGGACATTATTCCACAGATAGATAGATGATAGATAGATAGACACACACCCCACTTGCCTCACTGCCAACACAACCTCTGAAGATGCCAGCTACAGATGCAGGAGAAATGTCAGGAGAGAATGCTACTGGAACATGGCCATATAGCTAGAAAAACTTACAGCAACCCAGTCTTGTTCAATGAAGTCCAAGATCTGACAATGACACAGCTTCTTGTCTTTGCTCCTGTTCCATGGCTTCTTTGGCAAGGGCTTGGATTAGATCAGTAGTTCCAACCCTTTTTTTAACCAGGGAACACTTTGATTTTTTTTTTTGTTAGCAGGGACCATAAGGTTCAATAATAATAAAATATGTTAATCTAAAAATAAACTTTAATCAAAACTTTTGACATATTGGTTAAACAATAGTAACATGAATTAAGAGTAGGCAAAGGTAAAGGTTTTCCCCTGACATTAAGTCCAGTCGTGTCCGATTCTGGAGGTTGGTGCTTATCTCCATTTCTAAGTCAAAGAGCCGGCGTTGTCCGTAGACACCTCCAAGGTCATGGGGCTGGCATGACTGCATGGAGCACCATTACCTTCCTGCCAAAGCTGTACCAACTGATCTACTCGCATTTTCATGTTTGTGGGTGGCCATCTGTCGGGGATGCTTGGAAGGTGATTTTCCTGCTTCTTGGCAGAATGGGGTTGGACTGGATGGCCCACGAGGTCTCTTCCAACTCTATGATTCTATGAACATTACACATTCAAAGGAAGGTCCTTTGTATACTTCACCTTGGTTGCATCATCTCTTCTGATGTTTTTGTACCAACAAAAACTATGTAATGCCTTAAGAATGATTTGAGTGTAAGCCAAGAGTTTTGTGTGAATGGGCCACAGATTCGCTGGGAATATGTGTTGGAGTGATCCACCTGGAAGCCCAGCTGATCAAAATAAACCTGCATTTTTCTTTTCCCATTTCCAAGTAAGGCTTGGTACGTTTTCTAAGAACCTACTATCATACTACCAGATGTAGTTACGGAGCCCATTTAGAACTTTGCATTCCAATTGTAAAGTGCTAACATACACACAAAGCTTTAGCTCCACGTATATGAAGGTGCTGCTGGTATGTTGAAGGGTATAAAGTACAAGTCAAATATCCCTTATCCAAAATGTTTGAGCCCAGAAATGTTCTAGATTTCAGATTTTGGAATATTTGCATATACATAAGAAACATTAAAGATGGGACCAAATTTAAACACTAAATTCTTCTGTTTCATATGTAACTTCTACATATTGCCTGATGATAATTTTATTCACAACTAGCCGTCCCCTGCCACGCATTGCTGTGAACCAGTCTGTGTATATGTGTTTTGTGTGTGTATATATGTGTTTATATATGTGTATATATGTGTGTTTGCATATATATATGTGAGTGTATATATGAGCATGTGTGTATATTTGTGTGTTTATATGTGTATATGGATATTGTGTATATGTGTGTGCTTTTCTATATGAATATTTGTGTGTATATATGTGTGTGTGTGTGTATGTGTATATGTATGTGTGTGCATGTGTATATGTATATATGTGTATATATGTATATTTGTGTGTGCATGTGTATATGTATATTTGTGTGTGCATTTGGGTATATGTATACAATGTTCCCTCACTTATCGTTGGTGTTATGTTCTAGGACCACCCACGAAAAGTGAAAATCCACAAAGTAAGGACGGTATATTTATTTTATTATTTATTTTATTATTTATACACTACTTTAAGTCCGCAAAAAGTGAAGCATGTGTATATGTATATGTGTGTGTGTGTATTTATGTGTGCTTGTGCATATATATATATGTGTGTGTGTGTGCGTGTATGAATGTGCATGTACATATGTATATGAGTGTGTGTGTATGTATATATGGTGTATTTTGGGGGGGGGGTTAAGTCTGTTCTGCTGGGTTGTTGTTGTTTTTTGGTGTGTTTTTAGGGATGATGGACACTCGTTGGATTGTTAGGTGTATTGTGTCGAAATTTTGTCACAATTCGACCTGTGGTTTCTAAGTTATTTTTCTCCCACAAACGAACACTACATTTTTATATAAAGAGATATAAAATGAGAACAATGAGTTTGAGAACAATGAAAGTAAAAGTGTTCCCATCACATCCACCCAGGCAAACATTTTTGGATTGTGGGGCATTTCAGAGTTTGGATTTTCAGGTAAGGGATGTTCAAGCTGGATATGATTTCTCTGTTCTTCGTCAACAGTTTGATGTTCAAGCAGTCTTGCTTTAAGATCCTAGCTCTTCCCACCGCCTGGATGTGCCACAGGCCTTTGTCTCCTATGGACACTCTGGTGTCCGATCAGCTTATCTCTCCGAGAGAAGTCCTTCCCACATTTGGGGCATTTAAAGGGCTTCTCTCCCGTGTGGACTCTCAGGTGACACATCAGATGGACCTTCTGCCGAAACCACTTGCCGCACTGGGAACACTGGTACGGCTTCTCTCCTGTGTGGATGCGCTGATGCATCAATAACGATTCCTTAGAAGCAAAGCCTTTTCCACAGGTGGAGCATTTGTACTGTTTCTCTCCCGTGTGAATTTTCTGGTGCTTAGTCAACGTTGTCCGGTGTCCGAAGGACTTCCCACACTGACTGCACTGATATGGCTTAGCTTTTGTCCGAATGCTTTCATCTTGACTTAATGCCTGTATGTCAAGACGGCTTTTTCTGCTCATGGACGGTTCACAAGTAGGAGACGGAAAGGCGTTTCCTTTGTTGTGCATCACAATAAGCCTCGCATTGTAGTGGTATCTTCTGTTGTGTTTGGAGGACAAGAACTTCCCACCTTCTGTTTGCATGGCACAGCTTTTGTTGACCTCAGGAAGACGTCCTTCTGCGAACTCACTGCATTTATTTTCTTCTTCCAATGCCAGTTTCTTCTTTTGTTCCTTGGAGTCCCATCTCGGCTTGTGGATTTCATTTGTCACCTGGAGACTCCATGGAGACATGTCTTCCAATCCCTTAGGTGTTTCCATAGGCAAAGGTTCCCCCGGTGGAGGATCTTCCATCTTGACCCAACTTCTCTTTCCATCACCTAAAGAGACAAGAAAGAGGAATTTGGTCTAAGTTCTGGTCACTTCTTGTTCAGAGTCCTGTCATTTTCTTCTTCCAGGTCTTCCTAAGTCATAATTTCACTATTTTTCACTTTTGACTCTAGGATAAGGGCCGGGAAGCTTTGTTAGCTTAAGGGCTGAATTAAATTTTGAAGAAGTTCTGAGACAGAAAAGATGTTGCAGTGGTGGTCAGTATACCAAAGGGAGACAACTGGATCAGTGTATTTCCTCTTAAGGCTAAAGGCAGCAATGCATTAAATCATTTGGATAGACGAAAATCATGTGAAAAAGTGGGGAACTACTAAAGAGTGTCACACAAACAGAGATATGGTACCAAAGAAAATTTCAGAGGATTGGATTTTGAACTAGAGTCTGAAGTTCACACATTAGGATAATAATAATAATTATCATCATCATCATCATCAGACATCACGATTGTGGAAAAGAAAAAAATCTGGATAATTGATGTCGCCATACCTGGTGACAGTCGTTTTGAGGAAAAACAACAGGAAAAACTCAGACGCTATCAAGATCTCACAATTGAACTGCAAAGGAACTGGCATAAACCAGTACAGGTGGTCCCAGTGGTCATCGGCGCACTGGGTGCCATGCCAAAAGATCTCGGCCGGCATTTGGAAACAATAAACATTGACAAAATCACAATCTGTCAACTGCAAAAGGCCACCTTACTTGGATCTGCGCGCATCATTCGAAAATACATCACACAGTCCTAGACGCTTGGGAAGTGTTCGACTTCTGATTTTTTGATACGAAATCCAGCATAGAGATCTCGTTTGCTGTGACATACTGTGTTTTTGTGTCAGTAAAATAATAATAATAATAATAATAATAATAATAATAATAATAATAATAATAATTTTATTTTTGTACCCTGCCTCCATCTCCCCAACGGGACTCTGGGCGGCTCACATGGGGACAAGCCCAATCAATACTGTTCTACATTATTACATGTCAAATAATCATTTATTTATTTATTTATTTATTTATTTGCTGTATTTGTATACCACCTTTCTCAGCCCGTAGTGACTCAAGGCGATTAACATGGTAAAAGTCAATGCTCACAATACAATTAAAATCATAACATATAATAAAAATTAAACATATCAATAAAATATAAATTCATAGTGTCGCCTTGTTAAAAACGTCATCCGATCTCATTGTCATCCTTCCATTTTCCTATGTCAGTTATTATAGAATCCTAGAGTTGGGAGAGACCTCATGGGCCATCCAGTCCAACCCCCTGCCAAGAAGCAGAAAAACCGCATTCAAAGCACCCCGACAGATGGCCATCCAGCCTCTTTTCAAAAGCATCCAAAGAAGGAGCCTCCACCATGCTCCAGGGCAGAGAGTTCCACTGCTGAACAGCTCTCACAGTTATGAAGATCTTCCTAATGTTCAGGTGGAATCTCATTTCCTGTAGTTTGAAGCCATTGTTCCATTGCGTCCTAGTCTCCAGGGCAGCAGAAAACAAGCTTTCTCCCTCTTCCCTATGACTTCCCATCATCTTGATCCATGGCCCTCGTCATGCTTCCTCTCAGCCTTCTCTTCTTCAGGCTAAACATGCCCAGCAATTTAAGCTGCTCCTTGTAGGGCTTGTTCTCCAGACCCTTGATCATTTTAGTCGCCCTCCTCTGGACACTTTTTCAGCTTAGAGTCAACATCTCCCTTCAATTGTGGTGGACACAGTATTCCAGGTGTGGTCTGACCAAGGCAGAATAGAGGGGTAGCACGACTTCCCTGGATCTAGACAATATGCTCCTATTTAAATAATTCCATACTCAGCTTCTTACATGTATTAATCACTAAATATAAATTAATTTATTTTGAAAAACGATTTTAATCTGGATTGTTGTAGGTTTTTTGGGCTATGTGGCCATGTTCTAGAAGTGTTCTCTCCTGACGTTTCGCCTGCATCTATGGCAAGCATCCTCAGAGGATGGCAAGCATCCTCCTCAGAGGATGCTTGCCATAGATGCTGGCGAAATGTCAGGAGAGAATGCTTCTAGGACATGGCCACATAGCCCAAAAAACCTATAACAACCCAGTGATTTCAGTCATGAAAGTCTTTGACGATTTTAATCTGCTTCATAACCACTAAGAGGGCAGAAGGCCACATTTGCCACCTTCCATCCGACCAATTGCACATCTTGGAGACAAAACATAACAGAAACAGTAGTTTGGAACTATTTATAACCTTACCCTACACATATTCATTCATAGGACTCATCTTTCTCTCTCTGTTTACTTGTTTAATATCCAACATAGATTCATCTGTGTCCCTTTGGAACCAAAGTTTTCCACATACTTAAAACATTTCAGGCAGCGATCAATTCTCCAAGCTCAGGGTAAATTGTCTGGTTGCCCCTGACACGATAAATAAATAAATAGGGTGAATGATGTTTTCAATCATGTTTCTTCCTCACGCAGCAGTTTAATAAATCTTCTCTCCTATTTCGATTCTTAGATGCTCATCCCAGGCTCAGCTTTTCTGACACTTGGGGACTGAGTTAGGTTTTCTGACCACAGTGAATTCTCTGATGCCCCATCAGTTTATCTTTCCTGGAGAAGTGTCTCCCACAATCCGTACATTCAAAAGGTTTCTCGCCCGTGTGGATCCTCTGGTGCCTCTTCAGATGCGTGCTCTGCATGAAGCTTTTCCCGCATTCGGTGCATTTGTAAGGTTTCACTCCAGCATGAATCTTCTGATGTCGCATTAGACTAATCTTTTGGATGAAGCAGTTCCCGCACTCGAGGCATCTGTAAGGTTTTTCTCCTGCATGGATCTGCAGGTGGGCCATCAAATGCAACCGCTGAGAGAAGCTTATCCCACATTCAAGGCAACTGAAAGAATTCTCTCCTGTTGGACTACTCTGGTGTCTTCCAAGTGGACGTTCTCTCTGATCAAGGGCAGGAAAGGTTTCTGTGTGTTTATACATTTTTTCTCCAGGATTTTCCTGGAAGATTTCCATCTCTGTTGGATATCCAAGCTGGTCCTCTCCAACATGTTTTATAATGATTCCTGAATTGGGGTGGGATCTTCCACCCGGCCCAGCGGAAAAAGGCAGTTCATCCTTCACGTACACGATGTGTCTCTCATTGCATTCAGGACCAAAACCTTCTGAGAACATGCTGGATTCGTTGTCAGCTTCCATCAGGTCCCTCCTTTGTCCTCTATTGGACTCCCATCTTTTCTTGTCCATTTCGGTTGCTGCAGGGATATTTCCTTCCTCTGAACGTGTCACCGTTGTGGGTGTTTTGTCCATCGCATCTCCTCCATAATGAAAAGTCTCCACCATGATCCAACTTCTCTTCTTGTCACCTGAAGAGACAAGAGAGAGGAATTTGGTCCAGGTTCTGGTCAGAGCCAGGAAAGCTTTCCTTTCAGATGGCCAATCCTTGGATTCTCCAGTTAGGAAGGACACTTGTCCTATTGACTGAAAGTTTTTTAGACATTGTAGCCCACAAAAAAGAAAAAAAAACTTTTCCAAGCTCTGATTCTGATCCCCTCTTGCTTAAAATTCATCTGACTTCTCACTCGTCTTCCTCCCTAATACAGTGTTCCCTCACTTTTCGCGGGTGTTACGTTCCAGGACCACCTGCGAAAAGTGAAAATCTACAAAGTAGGGATGCTATATATGTATATCACATTCCGAGGGTGAGACAGAAATGAGGAGAGATTTAAAGGCACCACACACCTTTTTTTTTTTTGCTATCTATCTCTTCTTTGCATTGCAATCTCTCTTGATTGGCTGCCTCTCTCCCGAGGGGGAAAGTAAAAACCCCTTCCACACCTCATTGTTGCCAGGAGGCAATATTGAAATGCCACTCTGGGCAACGGCAACCATTCATAAACTGGGAGGCAAAAATTCGCGAAACTGCGACTCTGCGAAAAGCGAACCGCACAGTAGCGAGGGAACACTATGTGCTGTTGTTACTGAAGTCATCTTTTTACTCCTTTTGTCTCCAGAATCACCCCTTCCTTTAACACACACACACTCAACCCTCCTGCAAAAGTGAAAAATTACAACTCATAAAATTGGTATTTTTTTAATTTGAGAGAACTACTATCCAAGAATATCTAGCTTCTCCAGGATGGCTTTATGGTCAACTTCCACTGGGTCAAGCCAGAGGATCTAGAGATTTCAAGAGAAATATTATCTCTAGGAAACTTGCAGTCTCTAGCATGAATTTATGATCAGAGACTAGCATAAGTTGACCACAGAGTTGCATTTGAGAACCAATGTAGCTAGGGTCTGTGTGTCTATGTTCTCTCTCTGTGACATGCCTAATATACTCTGTGTCATTGAAAACAGGATAAAATAACATTTTGAATGTTCAAAAAGTATTCATGACATGCAGGAGGAGGGAATTGGAGAAAAAGCACACACTGATAAGATCTGGTGCCTGAAGGGCCAGCAAAGGAAACAAAGGAAGAGATAGGTATGAGGCATGATGTGAAGAAAATGGTCTGTGCACATGCTCAAAGTATGCTCAAAGTTTTGACATAAAGCTAAGCTATATCCCATTTTTTGGTGTGGCCCTTTTTCCCCTTGTTCACCCAGCAGGATGATTTGGCCAAATAAACCTGTTGAATGATCGCCTTGCTTCTAATGTCTGATTGAATAAAGACCTTGGAGGTTTTGGGCCCTAAAGGACACAACAGAGCACCCCAACATAACATCATCGATAAAAGACAGTAACTCTTAAGACGAATGAAAGAATAGTTCTGCCACCTTCTGTTCTAGAAGCTACACATCACAACATTTCATTATCACAGAAAAAGATGCAACTCAGCATTAAAATACTGTGCTTTGGGAGCCAACCACATTGCTTTAGACATGCAAGTTATTTCAACATCGTCACAAAAATGTGTATGTGTGTATGTGTGTGTGTGGGTGGGGGGTTGTTTGCAGATTATGAGAACGACGACTATCGCCACCACTGGACTCCATATTTACTTGGCACCTCTATCAGCATTATTCTGCAAACATCGGATACAGGCTACATGAATTTTGATGGAATACCTAAAGAGTCAATAATAACACTAGGTCCCCGAGTCAGTTCTGTCCCTGTGAGGAATAGCCCCCCAAAATTGGCATCTCATCAAGGGGAGAAGGTCACGTTCAGAGTAGCTTTCTGAGAAAAAAACTGTTCCACCATCTTCTTTCCTTGTTGTCTTCTGGACTTACACGTTTGTCTGTGAACCTTTTTTAAAATATAATTTTTATTGATAAAATATAAGAAATAGGAAGGGGTACAGGAATAAATATAGAGTACAAAGATTTAAAAATATGCCTTTTTCAATTGGTTTTCTGTGGACTTTTGTGGCTCTCACAAACATATTCCTTTGTCATATTTTTCAAAAGACAACTGGAAATCTGGGTTGCTGTGAGTTTTTCAGGCTGTACGGCCATGTTCCAGAAGCATTCTCTCCTGACGTTTCACCCATATCTATGGCAAGCATCCTCAGAGGTTGTGAGGCTTGTTGGAAACTAGGCAAGTGAGGTTTATATATCTGTGGTGAGATAAAAGAACTGTCTGCCTGAGGCAAGTGTGAATGTTGAAACTGGCCAACTTGATTAGCCTTGAATGGCATTGCAGCTTCAAAGCCTGGCTGCTTCCTGCCTGGGGAAATCCTTTGTTGGTAGGTGTTAGTTGGCCCTGATTGATTCTTGTCTGGAATTCCTCTGTTTTCAGAGTGTTGCTCTTTTTTAATATTGGTAGTCAGTTTTTGTTCATTTTCATGGTTTCTTCCTTTCTGTTGAAGTTGTCTACATGCTTCTGGATTTCAGTGGCTTCCCTGTGTAGTCTGATATGGTGGTTGTTAGAGTGGTCCAGCATTTCTGTGTTCTCAAATAATATGCTGTGTCCATATAATATGCTGTGAACCATATTATGTGGGCGAGAGGTCAGGAGAGAATGCTTCTGGAACATGGCCATACAGCTTGGAAAACTCACAGCAACCCAGTGATTCTGGCCATGAAAGCCTTCGAAAACAAGCTGTGGGAATCCTTTGGAGATTAAGAGTCAATACACTCACATACAAAAACAAATAGAAGGGACCGATTACCAACTAAGACCTTGCAGAGCCACTGTCTATCAGAACAATAACAGTCTTGAAAAACCACCTCAATACAAAGCCATATCTTGCGGTCCCAATCGTCTCTTTGGGAAGAAATGAGACCTGCAATGAAATACTCCAGCACTGATTGCCTTGTTCCCTGTTCAAGATAGTCAACCATGCCCTCTTCCATAGTACTCCAGTCTATTCCCTCTATCCATTTCTCCTCTACTCCACCTCCTTCCCCAACACTTGAGTATTAGTCACTGAACATACTGCAGTTCTCACTCAGATGTTCCCTGAATGGGGATCTGGAGCTGACACATGGAGCTCATCCGTGCTCTCCCTGGACTTGAACCTTTGACCTATTGGTCTTCAGTCCTGCTGGCACATGCGTGGACATGAGAGAAGCCTCCCACAAGGATGGCAAAACATCAAAACATCCGGGCATCCCCTGGGCAATGTCCTTGCAGACAGCCAATTCTCTCACACCAGAAGCGACTTGCAGTTTCTCAAGTTGCTCCTGACATGAAGTTGGGAACCACTGACCTGGTGAAGCAGGATCTATCCACACTTTGGAACTAGTTGGGTTTCATACCACTTGAGTTGCCATGGCTCAGTGTTATGAAATCCTGGGATCTGAAGTTTGGTCAGACACTAGGGCCCTGTCTGCACTGCCGTATAATCCAGTTTTCTAAATACAGATTATCTGCTTTAACCTGGATTATATGTGGAGCCCCCAGTGGTGCAGGGGGCTAAACCCTTGTGCTGGCAGGACTGCTGACCAAAAGCTCATCAGTTCAAATCTGGGGTGCGCTCCCATCTGTCAGCTCCAGCTCCTTGTGCTGGGACATGACAGAAGCCTCCCACAGGATGGTAAAACATCCAGGCGTCCCCTGGGCAAAGTCCTTGCAGACCGCCAATTCTCTCACACCGGAAGCGACTTGCAGTTTCTCAAGTTGCTCCTGACATGAAAAAAAAATTAAAAATCAGATGTTTGGGGAATCCTTCTCTCCTTATGATTGTTTTGTATCCTGCAAGTATCAGGGTTTGGACAGTACTGTTTGGACTACAGATGCACTGGCACTCACACATGGATATGGGAATTTGTTGGTGTAAGTCCATCACACACTCTCTGATAATGCTTTGCGCGCTTCTCGTCCAGACACGGGCCATCCTCAGCTCCTCTGCCCTTTGTGAGTTTTCTGATGCCGGCTAAGCTGATCCTTGCGAGAGAAGCTGCGTCCGCACTGGGGGCACTTGTGCGGCTTCTCCCCCGTGTGAACCAGGATGTGCCTGATCAAATTGATCCTCTGGACGAAGCAGCTCCCGCATGCGAGGCACTTGTGTGGCTTCTCTCCCGTGTGGATCTGCACGTGGGTCTTCAAATGCGACAGGCTAGAAAAGTGCCTCTGACACTCGGGGCAGCTGTAAGACTTTTCCATACTTCTGTTCTGGTGTCCAAGCAGATTTCCTCTTGAGCTTTTCCTGCCCTCAGGATTTTTGTGCAATCTCTCTTCTGCGTGTTTTCTCCGATAGTTGGGATTGCGCTGCTTGTTTCCCCCCAGAGTGGGGTTTATGTATTGGTTCTCTCCAGTAAGCTTCACAAGTCCTGATTTGTGGCAGGTTGGGAAGAAAGGCTGTCCCCCATTGTTATGCCCTGTGTATTTGTCACTACAAGCAGCTCCAAGGCCTCCCGGGAGGTTGCTGGGTTCATGCTGAGCCTTCAGAGGCTCCTTCCCTTTCCCCTGGTTGGACTCACATCTTTCCTTGAGCATCTCGTCGGTCACTGGCACGTTCCCCTGGCTCGTCTCTGGCTGTGTCCTGGGCATTTCCTCCAGCTCGTACAGAGAACCCTCTGTCTTGAACTTGTTTCCTTTTTTGTCACCTGTAGACAGAGAACAGGTCTGTAGCGGCATTTGTCAGCAGTGAGAATGAGAATCACAGAATTGCAAGATACTAACCGACTCAAAAAAAGGGGAGGGCTATCCTTACTGGACCTACAAATTTACTTTGAAGCATGTGCACTGACATGGGTGAAGGACTAGGCCACGCTAACCAAAAGGAAATTTTTAAGTTTGGAAGGGTTTGATTTACGTCAAGAGTGGCACGCGTACCTTTGGTACCAAAAGGCAAATATGGAAAAGAATTTTACCAATCATTTTGTCAAGGCAGCCCTATTAAAGGTACAGTGTTTCCTCGCCGCCTCACGGTTCGCCTTACGCGGACTCACTGTTTTGCAGTTTTTAAAAAATAATGTATTTTTATATAAATATGAATTTATTGGCGCTGGCGGGTCACTGCCTTTGATAAGCTCTCTATAACCACCTTCTCTTCTCCCATCCGTGCCAGGGCCAGCTTCCCCACCTTGCCCGGCAGTCTTTGCAGGGTTGCCCTGGGCCTCTGTAGTCTCCGCAGGGCACCAGAAGCCGGCCTTGCCAATCTAGTCCAACTCCCTTCACCAAGGCAAGAAAACATAATCTAAATCCTCCTGACCAAGAGCCATCCAGTCATAGATATAGATAGATATGATTCACACACAATATATATTTGTATAACCCCTCCCTCCTGATCTTTCAAACACGAGTTAAAATCTGGCTCTTTGAGCAAGCGTTTGGAGCTGCAGCGTGACCAATTAACACAAAATCGTAATATGAACATGGAATAGCTAAGGCTATGTAAATGGATGAGGAATTTGGATTGGTAGACATTTTTGTATTGATTTTTATAGTTTTATAGTTTTTTATGGATTTTATATGTATGTATAATGTGTTTTTATTTATACATGCTGGTCGCTTATTTATTTATTTCTATATGCTTATTTATTTATTTATAATAATGACATCCGCCAGGAAGTAGCAGCCAATAGTGAAAGGACCAAGGCAGAGACATCTCCAGCTTATCCCCTGTTTGGGTATCAGCCAGCACGTCAACAACTTAAATCTAGAAATAGTTTTCTAAGATCTACAGAGACACTCGCTGGAACACCTCAGCAAGCGAGAGTCCAAAAGTGGCAGGCTCAAACCCAGAACCTCAACCAATGGCTGATACCAAATGAGAGACTCCCCCCTGGGCACACAGAGGACTGGGCGACTTGGAAGGCGCTGAACAGACTGCGCCTCTGGCACCACGAGATGCAGAGCCAACCTTCAGAAATGGGGCTACAAAGTGGAATCCTCGACATGCGAGTGTGGAGAAGAGCAAACCACTGACCACCTGCTGCAATGCAACCTGAGCCCTGCCACATGCACAATGGAGGACCTTCTTGCAGCAACACCGGAAGCACTCCAAGTGGCCAGATACTGGTCAAAGGACATTTAATCAACTACCAAACTCACAAATTTTGTATTTTGTCTGTTTGTTTGCTTTGTTCTGTTAGAAATGTAATATAATTGACTGGTTGCCCCGACACGACAAATAAATAAATAAATAAATAAATAAATAAATAACATTTATATATGTATTTCTATATGGCATCTAATTGTTGCCAATCTGTACACCACCCTGAGTCGCCTTCGGGCTGAAATGGGCAGGATAGAAATGTTGTAAATAAATAAATAAATAAATAAATAAATACTCTGGTTTCTCCTCAGATCGTATGTAAATAAATAAATAAATAAACGTGACAGATGTATTATTATAGATTTGAAAGAGACCCCTAAAGAAGGACAATTCTATGTTGCCTGTTCCAGAGTAGGCAAACCAGACACTCTTCACATCAACACTGACAAAGAAACAGCAAGAAGTACTGTTTACCCACAAGCAGAAAGAAATTACATATATTAGAAACCAATACTTTCTCATTACTTTATTTTTGAGATCACCAGACTGGGCAGGGGATGGCTAGTTAATTTTGTACAAACGAAGTAGTATTGGTAAGAGGTTTGACAATAAAAAGAAAGAGAAAAATTAAGTAGAGAAAACAGAATAGGTGAAAGCTGTAAGAATATGAAGAATACGAAGCAGAAGAAGAAGAAGAAGAAGAAAGGAAGAGAGGAAAACAAAAACAAACTCCCTGTTGAATGGACCGGAAAACAAAACCCCAACCCCTCAATCCTTAAATACCCTCTTTTAATCATATTTTTCTCCCCTTTCTCTTTTCACTCTTCCCTATCCCTACCACAACCAATCCTAAACCTTTTAAATGTATAATCATAAAAATTCTTGCAATAAAGATTATTTTTAAAAAAAGAATTGCAAGAGACCCCAAAGGACCGTCCAGTCCCAACCCCATTCTGCAAGGCAGGAAGTCACCAATGAAGTTCTCCCAACAGACAGCTATCCAGCCTGTACTTCATCGTTTCTCAACCTGGGGGTCAGGACCCCTGGAGGGGTTGCGAGGGGGTCTAGCTTCCAACAGACCTCACAACCTCTGAGGATGCCTGCCACAGATGTAGGCAAAATGTCAGGAGAGAATGCTTCTTGAACATGGCCATACAGCTTGGAAAACTCACAGCTATCCAGTAATTCTGGCCACGAAAGCCTTCGACAACAAATTTCTTTCATTGCTTGCGTATGGTTTGGACTGGCTTCGCTCACCTATAACTACGTCTCCCTATTGTGGTCTTCCTCTCTTGGCACTTGTAACCCTGATTTCAATGAAGGAAGCTCAATGCCATCTTCTAAAAGTCTTCAACACTTTTTAATGAAAATACAGAATTTATATTATCTTCTTGTGCTAATGATATCAAAAATGGGTGCTTCTTGAAGAAAAGGGAGAGGCGTATTTGTCAGAAGAATATCTCTGTCCATGGTTTCCAACTTATGCTCCTCTGGGTCTTTGGGCTTCCAAAGACCCTGACAGATTGGTCAAGTATCAGGACTTCTCAGAGCTGAGGTCCAAAATACCTAGAGGACCAAAGTTTGGGAGCCATGACAGTCTACTGTGGCCAAGTCTGACTTGGCTACGGTAGTCCATACTCTGGTTACATCCCGTATAGACTACTGCAACGCGGTCTAAGTGGGGTTGCCTTTGAAGACTGTTCGGAAGCTTCAAATGGTCCAGCAGGCAGCAGCCAGGTTGCTAACAGGAGAAGCATTCACATACAACTCCTCTGTTGCGCCAGCTCCACTAGCTGCCAGTTTGCTACCGGCACAATTCAAAGTGCTGGCTTTAGCCTATAAAGCCCTAAACAGTTCTGGCCCAGCTTACCTGTCCGAATATATCTCTCCTTATGAACCATCTAGGAGCTTAAGATTATCTGGGGAGGCCCTGCTCTCAAACTCACCTTCTTTGCAGGCACGTCTGCCTAGGACAAGAGAACAGGGCCTTCTCAGTGGTGGCCCCTCAGCTGTGGAACTCCTTCCCCAGGGATATTAGATCTGCCCCTCCCTCCTGACTTTCCAGAAAAAAGTAAAAACCTGGTTCTTCAAACAAGCTTTTGGAACTGCAGCGTAATAAATCAACATGGTACTATGAAAGAGTGAACATGGAACAACTTAGATGATGCTACTGGAAAATGAGTTTAATAGGAAGACATAGTTTTAATGGTTTTCTATAAGGATCTTTATTAAGTTATGCTAAAAGTTTTAATGGTATTTATAACTGTTGTGGCATCAAATTGCTGCCAATTTGTAAGCCGCCTTGAGTTGCCTTTGGGCTGAAAAGGCGGGATAGAAATAGTGTAAATAATAATAATAATGTATTGTCGAAGGCTTTCATGGCCGGAATCACTGGGTTGTTGTAGGTTTTTTCAGGCTATATGGCCATGGTCTAGAGGCATTCTCTCCTGACATTTCGCCTGCATCTATGGCAAGCATCCTCATAACCTCTGAGGATGCTTGCCATAGATGCAGGCAAAACGTCAGGAGAGAATGCCTCTAGACCATGGCCATATAGCCCGAAAAAACCTACAACAACCCAATAATAATAATCCCAAACTGGCCAACAAAACACTTCTAGGAAATCCACAAGTAGGACAGAAATACAATCACATTTTCTGGTTCATGTTCCTTAACAAGTGGCATTCAGAAGCATCCTGTCTGATCACAAAATAATCCATATATATATATATATATATATCCTTCATTAAGGAATTGTCAAGATAAATGCTCATTCTTATCACCGGAATTGCGTCCTGGGTGCCTCTCACATCCCACTGGAAACTGGTGGAACGTCTCTTCTTTTGGAGGGTGGGGAGATTGATCAGGTTTGGGTGCCAAAATTCCCTCTTGATTCCGGAAGCAAGGAAACAGAAGAGAGAGGGAATATTTATAATTCAGTTAACATGGCAAAGTAGTTTGAGTGATGGACTATGACTCTGAAGATAAACAATCAGGTTCTCGGATCCCCTTTTCCTTTCTCCGCCTCCCAGTTGTTCATAGACTCCATTTCTCCAGGACGTTCATGCAATTTGTTTCATGAACATAATTATTAAAATACTGTATAAAATGTTATGAAACATAAATAAATTTCATGTTTAGACTAGGTCTCATCTCCAGGATACAGTGTTCCCTCAGGACCACCCGCGAAAAGTAAAGATCCGCGAAGTAGGGACACTATATATGTATATCGAGTTCCAAGGGTGAGGCAGAAGCGAGGAGAGATTTAAAGGCACTGCACACCTTTGCTAGCTATCTCTGCTTTGCTTTGCAGTTTCTCTTGACTGGCTGCCTCTTTCCCGAGCGGGAGGGTGAAACCCCCTTCCACTCTCCATCGTTGCCAGGAGGCGATGCTCTGGGCAATGGCAACCATTCATAAAATGGGAGGCAAAAGAGCATGGGGAGCATGACTTATCTGGATCTAGGCACCATATTCCTATTTATGGAGGCCAAAATCCCATTAGCTTTTTTTAGTCGCCGCATCACATTGTTGGCTCATGTTTAACTTGTTGTCCACGAGGACTCCCAAGATGTTTTTCACACGTCCTGCTCGAGCCATGCATCCCCCATTCTGTATCTTTGCATTTCATTTTTTTCTGCCTAACTGGAGTATCTTGCATTTGTCCCTGTTGAACTTCATTTTGCTAGTTTTGGCCATTCATCTCTCTAATCTGTTAATTCTGCTCCTATTTTCTGGGATATTAGCTCTTCCTCCCAATTTGGTGTCATCTGCAAACTTGATGATCAGGCCTTTTAACCCTTCATCTAAGTCGTTAATAAAGATGTTGAACAGAACTGGGCCCAGGACAGAACCCTGCTTATGGCACTCCATAGAATCATAGAATCATAGAGTTGGAAGAGACCTCATGGGCCATCTAGTCCAACCTCCTGCCAAGAAGCAGGATTATTGCATTCAAAGCACCCCTGACAGATGGCCATCCAGCCTCTGTTTAAAAGCCTCCGAAGAAGGAGCCTCCACCACACTCCGGGGCAGAGAGTTCCACTGCTGAACAGCTCTCACAGTCAGGAAGTTCTTCCTAATGTTCAGATGGAATCTCCTTTCTTGTAGTTTGAAGCCATTGTTCCGTGTCCTCCACTCGTCACTTCTTTCCAGGATGTCTTGCTTGTACGCTCACAAGATCCCAAGGATGGCAGCTCAACTCCAGAGCGGTCTACTAATTATATTATGGGCTGGAGCAGAACTTTAATGTGTATGTGTATGGTGCTGATATTTTAATTGTGTAATGAAGTGTTGTTATTGTATATTTTTTTGTATGTTAACACATGTTGTGAACCGGTCCGAATCCCTCTTTGAAGGTGAGAGGGTCGGTATATAAAACCTCGAAATAAATAAATAAATAAATAAATAACTTACCCAAGGAGTTTGCATTTCCACCTTCCTCCTGCAGGACTTGCCAAAACATGGTCCGTTGGACGGGTTGCATTGGAGACGGCTTAACCATGGCGGCCTCGTTGAGGCTCACCATTCCCTGAAACAGAAAGACATCCCTACAATTTCCTAATCAAATCCAGGTAAAGGTGAACAAAGAATTCAGAATATCTATTCTCATCAATCCTTTTACAAATGCATAAGGAACAATGGGAGAAATGGGTCTTCTTTTAGTCTTAATGAAGGAGATGATGGGACCTATTGGACTGGAAATCTTATCCTCCTAAGCTGGTTAGAGATGCCGGGGGTTGTAATCTAATGTTGTCTAATTTGCATCCATGATTTACAAGGAAACTCTACATACGTTTACTGAAAAGTATGTGCCATTCATTTCAGAGGGATTTCACCTTGAGTAATACGATAACAACCTTAATGCTGCAGTCTTATGGAAAGCGGAATCCCATTACCGCAATAACTGTAATGTATGCAGTATCCTGACAAATGGGGAGCAAGTATGGTTTAATTCACAGAATCGTAGAGTTGGAAAATATCCCAAAGGCTGTCCAGTCTGGACCCATTCTGTCACGCAGGAACACACAATCAAAGCTCCCCCAACAGATGGCTTTATTGTGTTACCTATAAAAATAGAATGCTTGTAATATTCACCAGCCATGGCAATAACCATGATATAGGACCGGGCTGTGGCGCAGCTAGTTAGTAGCCAGCTACATTAAATCACTACTGACCAAAAGGTCATGAGCTTAAAGCCAACCCGGGTTGGAGTAAGCGCCCGACTATTAATAGTCTAGCTTGCTGTTGACCTATTCAGCTCGAAAGACAGTTGCATCTGTCAAGTAGGAGGCTAATTTAACTAATTTACAATGCCATAAAACCTTCCAGCAGCATGCAGAAGAATGAGGAAGTACTCCATCAAATAACCTGGTGTCACAAGTAGACGGTGAAGTGGCAGCTCCTCCTGTGGCTGGAACCGAGCATATCCTCATGAAGTCAGAAAAAGCTGGAATGTTAAATTGCCTCTGTGTCTATCTATATATCTTGTAAATAAAATGGCATTGAATGTTTGCCATGTATATGTGCATTGTAATCCGCCCTGAATCCCTTGTGGGGTGAGAAGGGTGGAAATATAAACACTGTAAATAATAAATAAATAGTTTGCTTGCCTTAAATAAGCTCAAGTAAGCTTGTTTCCTAAACTAAATACGCCAGCATTTGACAGGTTTCATGCTACAATTTCTTCTTCTCATTTGAACAAAGGGGGTCGTATATTCCCTTTTCTCTCCAGATTGTATAAAGAGCAGCTTTGGCCTTAACAAATTGATGCCACCTACCTCACTTGGACCAGCTTCAGCCATTCCCTGACCTTCTGCAGGAAGCAAAGAACTCGGGTGACTTGGACCTTTGATCCCACTGCCTACAAGGTCGAAAGAAAAAGGAAGGAAGATACAAAAGGAAGGAATTCAATGTATTTCTGGAGTGGAACAGAAGGAAAGCTGTTTTCCTTTCCTTTCAAAACCTGTACACAAGAGGAGCATGTGATCAGACAAAGCTACATCACATGGGATAGACTGAAAAGGGTCTAGGCAGTGGCTCTCAACCTATGGGTCCCCAGATGTTTTGGCCTTCAACTCCCAGAAATCCTAACAGCTGGTAAACTGGCTGGGATTTCTGGGAGTTGGAGGCCAAAACACTTGGGGACCCACAGGTTGAGAACCACTGCTCGAGAGGAAGGGGCCAGGACAATGAAAGGTCTGGAAATTAATGAGGAACTCTGATTCTAAGAAAATGAAGACCACAACATTATGGTGCGCTTGGAGTGGCTTTGCTTGGCCAGTAGGGTTGGATAAGTTCCTTCGGAAAAGCCTGAAAGTCAGAAGAAAACATACGAATGCAGTTTTGAACAATGCAGAAAAGGTGGGGGGGGGGGGGGATCCGAATTTGAATCCCTTACCTTTTTTCTGGAAATATTATATAATGTTTGGATGTCTCCCAAGGTTATTTTAATTTTTACAACCATTAAGCAACTTTGGTAAAGCCTAAAAACTTTTAACATCTCATTCTTTCCGCTGGCAATGCAAGGAGGGATGAGGTGGGCGTAGCTAATCACAGCCATCTTTAACTGTAGTTTGTGAAGGCCAGGCCCCCAATGGTAGAGACTGCAAAAGGCCCTGATGTTAAACAACATTTCTACCACTGCCCTGCTGCTCATTAGCAAAAATGTCTGAAGGACCCAAAAATAGCTGTCTGTAGCAGTCTTCGTCTAACTATAAAATAAACCGATTGAATCTACAAAGGTGTCTAAAGAAGGCAATAAAGTAATAAGCAACTTTGGCAAAGCCAAGAGAACATAAACTGCTTTAAAAAACAAATCACTTTGGCCTGATTACCATGAACAATAATAAAATAAGAAAACTCTATCTCCCCGAGGGGAACTCAGGGCAGTTTCTAAGTAACATCACTAAAACATACAGAGTAAACAGCATGACATAAAACAACATAAGCATAAAATTATCACAATAACACACATATATTAAAAATAATCCTGCCTGGGGTAGCCAGCCACAGTTAGCCAGCCCTTTACATCAGTAAGTAATGATAAAATAAAATCATTGATTGCTCTTCAAAAAAAGAATAAACGGATGGATGTGTTTTGAGGGTCCCCCCCAACTCAGTAGAGGAAGCAAATGGAAGTCATGAGAGTTTGGATGGTGCCTTTCTGTCCAGAAGAAGGGGTTCAGTCTAGATGTCCCTTGATGGAGTCTGTACTATAATTTCTGTTCTCCACCAATTTAACATAGTTTGTGCCACACAAACAAAGTTTCTGGAGTAGAACAACTACTTTCAAAGTAAAGACCACCCAATGAAACAGGAAATAACACTTTCAAACCAGGAACAGATTTTCTTTATTATTAAAAAATGTTTTTATAAAAAAACTTTGAAAATTTGCCAAAAATCCATGGATAAGTCAAAGGTTATGAAATTTGGTGAGCCAACAGTGGTCCATGTGTTCTACCACTGTAGCAAGTTTTGTCAGGATTGGTCTAAAAATGAGGGAGGGAGCATCCCCTGAAGTTTCCCCAGTGCCAGTACTGTTTTTTTCCTACTGCGCATGCGTGTCCGCATTAACGAATCAATTCGGAACTTTCGGATAGTTTCAAAAAGCAATTTTGAAAAATTTGGAAGTGATTTTAGAATCAAAGCACCAGCATCCGCTACATTCAAGTTTTTTTGGGGGGGATCAACCAAGCCTGTTGGCCAGGAGTCATGCTAGTTGTTTGGGTTTTTTTGGGGTTTTTTTGGTCGTGTCAGGAGTGACTTGAGAAACTGCAAGTCGCTTCTGGTGTGAGAGAATTGGCCGTCTGCAAGGACATTGTTCAGGGGATGCCCGGATGTTTTTTGATATTTTATCATCTTTGTGGGAGGCTCCTCTCATCCGCATGGGGAGCAGGAGCTGACAGAGGGAGCTCATCCGCGCTCTCCCCGGATTCGAACCTGCGACCTGTCAGTCCTGCCAGCACAGGGGTTTAACCCACTGTGCCACCAGGGGCTCCTGTCATGCTAGTAAGTCCAGGGAAAGAAAACTCAAATTGCAGCCACCAATAAAATTATTAGAAGACTAGAACCTGGTGGAGGATCATGGACTTCAAGCCACAAAGGGAAGGAATGTTCTCCTGCCAGGAGGGGACATCTCACTGCACTATCACAGCTTTTTCATTCTTTAAAATAAACCATCTATCATTCTATATTTGCAGTTTTGACTTTTGCAGATTGAATGTTTGTGGATTTGATTTAAAATGGTCTCTCTAGAAATCTCTAGGTCCTCCAATGTGATTCCATGTTCAGCATCCAGCAGAGTTTGACAATAGTTGTGCTGGGATATGTAGACTTTTCTAGAGAGATGTTCTCTTAAGTTTTAAGAAAAGGCAGCAATATTTTATTTGTATTTTCCCATTTTCTCAGCAATCCTGTGCCCCTAATCTCTTTATTTTACTACTGGCAATAAACAAAACCTGGTGCAAAAAGTAGGGAGTGGGAAATAGTACTCTGCATTGTCAGTACTTTTCTTTTTTCGTGTCAGGACTGACTTGAGAAACTGCAAGTCGCTTCTGGTGTGAGAGAATTGGCCGTCTGCAAGGATGTTGCCCAGGGGACGCATGGATATTGTGATGTTTTATCGTCCTCGTGGGGGAGCTGGAGCTGACAGAGGGAGCTCATCCACACTCTCCCCAGATTCGAATATCCGATATGTCGGTCTTCAGTCCTGCCAGCACAAGGGTTTAACTCATTGCGCCACTGATGCAATGCAGTACCGATGCTGGTGTTTAAAGACAAAAATTGATCTGGGACAGTGCCTCCAATTCCCTGGGCGTCAATACTGTTTTTATGTGGCGCAGCCAGTTAGTAGCCAGCTGCATTAAATCACTACTGACTGAGACATCATGAGTTCAAAGCCAGCCCAGGTCGGACTAAGCTCCCAACCATTAATAGTCCAGCTTGCTGCTGACCTATTCACCCCGAAAGACAGTAGCATCTGTCAAGTAGGAAATTTGACACTTTATGCGGGGAGGCTGATTTAACAAATTTACGACACCATAAAACTTTCCAGCAGCGTGCGTAAGAATGAGGGAGTACTCCATCAAGGACTCGGTGTCACAAGTGGACGGTGAAGCAACAGCTTCCCCTGTGGCTGGAATCGACCATACCCTCATGAAGCCGGACAGCTGGAATGTTAAATTGCCTCTGTGTCTGTCTATATATGTTGTATGTATAAATGGCATTGAATGTTTGCCATGTATATGTACATTGTAATCTGCCCTGAGTCCCCTGCACAGTGAGAAGGGTGGAATATAAATACTGCAAATAAATAAATAAATAAATGTCACATTTCCCACTTCCACTTTGTATTTTTAGGAGTTCCACCTCAATCAAGGACTTCTTACCCAGCAAATTGATCTCTCCAACACTGTTGTGCTTGGCTTCTTTGTAGACCTGATCCTGCAGGTCCCTTAAAGGACCCTCTTCTCCTTCCTGGGAGTTTAGGCGCACCTCTTGCAATGGACCCTGAAAGGAAATGACAACGGTCCCGACACAGAGAAGAGGTAAAAGACCATTATGAATCCACACCCTTCTTGCCTAATTTTCTTTGCTTTCCAAGTATATATATTTTTAAAAAAACACTTTTTAAAAAGTCCATTCCAATGTATCAAGATCTTATCGAAATTCAATGTGCCTCTGTTTAAAAAAAAAAAAAAATTGAACCTGTTTATTTCCAAACCTACTACATTATACAAAACACCCAGATAATAATAATAATAATAATAATAATAATAATAATTATTATTATTATTATTATTATTATTATTGAACATGTCAGTCTACTCTGGGACTTCCAAATTCAGACAGAGTTTTGGAGCACAATACTCCTGACCTCACGATCGTGTTAAAAAACAAAGTATGAATTGTCTATGTTGCAATCCCAGGTGACGGCAGGATTGAAGAGAAACAACTGGAAAAGCTGACACTATATGAGGATTTGAGGCTCAAACTGCAAAGACTCTGGCACAAGCCAGTCAAGGAAGTCCCAGTGGTGATTGGCACACTGGGTGCAGTGCCTAAAGACCTTGGCCTGCACTTAAACACTATCGGCACTGACAAAATTACCATCTGCCAGCTGCAAAAGGCCACCTTACTGGGATCTGCACACATTATTTTCCGATACATCACACAGTCCCAGACACTTGGGAAGTGTCCGACGTGTGATCTAAAACAACAGCCAGCAGAGTTATTGTGTTTCAAATAATAATAATAATTATTATTATTTATTTACATCCTGCCGCCACCTTCCATGGAGCCCCGGTGGCACAGTGGGTTAAACCACTGAGCTGCTGAATTTGTTGACTGAAAGGTCACAGGTTCGAATCTGGAGAGCAGTGTGAGCTTCCACTGTTAGCCCCAGCTTCTGCCAACCTAGCAGTTCGAAAACAAGCAAATGTGAGTAGACCAATAGGTACCGCTCCAGCGGGAAGGTAACAGCGCTCCATGCAGTCATGCCAGCCACATGACCTTGGAGGTGTCTATGGACAATGCCGCCTCTTCAGCCTAGAAATGGAGCACCACCCCCCAGAGTCGGACACAACTAAATGTCAGGGGAAACCTTTACTTTTTCCTATCCATGCAAAATCCTTGGGGGATACCAGGCTTGTACTGTACATTCATTGGCAGCTGAGACGGGCACGCAAAGAGAGGAAAACCCACCTGCCATTTGCCTACTTCGGCCTCTCGTTGGCTTGTTAGGAAGTCTTCCACCAGGACCACCGCTTGTGCGCAGGTCTCTGGCCCTCCTTCCCGGATCCAGTTCTGGATCTCGAGTGGCAAAACAGCCAGGAATTGCTCCAGGATCAGCAGCTCCAGGATCTGCTCCTTGCTGCGCCTCTCTGGCTTAAGCCACTGACAGCAAAGTTCCTGAAGCTGGCTGTAGACTCTCCGCGGATCCTCAAACTCCGGGCAGAAGAACTGCCGAAAGTGCTGCCGCTGTGCCTCCATCCTCAGGGCATCCCTGCGCAAGAGGGCCACCTTCACTTTCCCGTAATCCTCCCGGTCTCCGGCTTCCAGGATACCGTAGGCTTGTTCCGCTTCTCCGCTCAGAGCCGGCTGGAGACGGGTCACCCACTCTTCCTTTGGCCACCGACAGGCTTTGGCCACTTGCTCGAAGGAGGCCAGGAAGGCCTTGGCATCATCCCACGGGGAGGATTCCAGCACCATCGGGTCTTCCTCGCTCGTGTGAATGGGCTGCAGGGTCTTCAGGAACTCCTGCCATTGGGCTTCCCAGCGTTGTTGCATCCCCTCTTTACTTTCCTGTGATATTCCCCATCCCGTATGTTTGGGTGGAACAACGATGGAGGATTTGTGTGCTCTGTTCGGTCTTTTTCCTCGTTCTGTTCCCACCATTTTTTGCTCGCTGGGAGCAGATGGATCAAAACCTTCTTCTGGATGGTTGGTTCCGGACCAATTTCTCATCTAGTTTTCAATCTCCTCAACACACAGAGAACAAAAGGATGGATCCTCTTCTTTCAGGCTTCTAGTGCTTCAGGAGGACGGCTGAACTTTGTTTCCAGCTGGCTTTCAATCCCCTCGGATCCTCCTAAGAGCACCAAAAGATGGTTTTTCTGTGGTCTAGGTTACTCTTCTAGCACTCCAGGCTGATAAAAACACCAAAATGTGGCAATTATTAGTAGTCCTGCAGCCTCCTGAGCCTATTCCCCCAAAATATGTAAAACTGGAGTGTCTTTCTCCCTAGAGCTGTGGTTCTCAACCCGTGGGTCCCCAGGTTTATCAATTTACCAGATGTTAGGATTTCTGGGAGTTGAAGGCCACAGGTTGGGAATCACTGCAGAGAAAGAAGGGATAGAAAATAATAATAATAATAATAATAATAATAATAATAATACTTTATTTATACCCTGCCACCATCTCCCCAAGGGACTCGGAGCGGCTTACACGAGGCCAAGCCCAACAACACATCAAAAACAACAAGCAATAATAAAACAACAAGCAAGACACAAGATAAACAATACAATTAATATAACTCACAAGTAGACAATAACACACAAGAATTTAAAAAAGGGCAGAATGTTCCAAGATTAAAGGGTGGGGAGCCGAGGCAAAAAGGAGGAAATCAATCTGTCTTAGCCCCCGTCTACACTGCCATATAAAATCCAGATTATCTGCTTTAAACTGGATTATATGGCAGTGTAGAGTCATATAATCCAGTTCAAATCATATAATGTGGATTTTCAGCTTTGATAATATGGATTATATGACAGTGTAGGAAGAGTCTTAAATTCAAATCCTCTTTCAGCCATGAAAATACTTGGACAAGTCACACACTCTCAGCCTCAGGACACCCCCCCCCCTTGGTGATTGGTTTCCTATAAGATTGCAGCAACACATATAGCCATACTGCAGTTAAATTATTATTATTATTATTATTATTATTATTATTATTATTATTATGCGTTGCAAAAGGCTTTCATGGCTAAAATCACTGGATTGCTGCCAGGCTTTGAAGCTGCAAAGCCATTCAATGCTAATAAAGGTGGAATTCTTTGTTGGGAGGTGTTAGCTGGCCTGTATTGATTCTCCTCTAGAATTCCCCTGTTGTTTGACATGAAAAAATTAGGGCTAGCTAACACCTCCCAACAAAGGATTCCCTCAGGAAGAAAGCAGCCAGGCTTTGAAGTTACAAGGCCATTCAATGGTAATCAATGTGTAATTATTTGTTGCAAGGTTTTAGCTGGCCCTGATTGATAATTGTCTGGAATTACCCTGTTGTTTGACATGAAACAATCGAGGCCGGCTAACACCTCCAAGCAAATAATTTCACCTTGATTACCATTGAATGGCCTTGCAGCTTCAAAGCCTGGCTGCTTTCTGCCTGAGGGAATCCGTTGTTGGGAGGTGTTAGCTGGCTCTGAGTGTTTCATGTCAAACAACAGGGGAAAGAAAGCAGCCAGGCTTTGAAGCTGCAAGGCTATGCAATGCTAATCAAGCCGGCCAATTGCAACATTCACACTTGCCTCAAGTGGACAGGAGTTCTTTCTCCCACCCTGGACATTATCCCACAGATATACAAACCTCACTTTCCTAGTTTCCAACAGACCTCACAACCTCTCAGGATGCCTGCCATAGATGTGGGTGAAAAGTCAGGAGAGAATGCTTCTGTAACATAGCCAGACAGCCTGGAAAACTCACTGCAACCTAGTATTATTATTATTACTATTATGAATAAAGGCTTTCAATGAAGACGTTCCTTTTTTCGAAGGCTACGGCCCAATGGAAGATGTAGTTTCACAAGGTTTTCAGCCCTCTCTGCCAATTGAGCTCTGGTGCCTCATCAAACTACAACTCCCATGATTGCCTAGCCTTGAGCCATGGCAGTCAATGTGAATTAGTTGTAGGAACTAGAGGTATGGCTGCTTCCCTGGCTGTAGAGCAGGCATAGGCAAACTTGGGACCCTCCAGGTGTTTTGGACTTCAACTCCCACAATTCCTGACAGCCGGTAGGCTGTCAGGAATTGTGGGAGTTGAAGTCCAAAACACCTGGAGGGTCCCAAGTTTGCCCATGCCTACTGTAGAGCATTATGTCAACACTTGCTGAAATTCCCTATTGTTGTTGTTGTTGTTGTTGTTGTTGTGTGCCTTCAAGGAGTTTCCGGCTCATGGCATTTCCTTGGCCTGATTTGCTTGCCTTTGCCTTCCTCTGAGTTGTAGTTTCCCAAGGTCTTTAATCTTCTCTGCCCAAAAGAGTGTTGGGACTTCACCAAACTACAACTCCCAGGATTCCATCGCATGGAGCCAGGGCAGCTAAAGCGGTGTCGAGCTGCATTCGCTCCACAGTGTGGATACACACACACACACACACCCCACGCCCCAACTACGAAGACTTAAACAAGTCCGTCCTGCCCTCTTCCTACACCAAAAGCAACCCAAAAAGCCTGCCTACCAGGGACCGGGAGGAAGTAGGCGTGAAACTCCTTCCAGATTGAATGCTTCCTGGGTGGGAACGGGGGGCAGAAGGGGCCAGGAAGAGACTGCAAGTCCCAGTGTTTCCTCTCCCCCTCCAACCGCAGCATTCACACGTCCGCCCACTCGACACGCAACTTCCGAGGAAGGAGAAGGCGAGGAGGAGGAGCAGGAAGAGGGAAATCGGCTGCCCAGCTGCCTTCGCTCCATGTCACTTTCTTCCTTTCTCCTTCCTTCCCCCCTTTCCTTCCTTTATCACAAATTAATTAAATACCTTTGTATTAAATTCCACTATCATACACTACTGGTTTAAGTTTTTTTTATATGCATAACATAATTAACTTACTATTAACATCTTAATAATTTAATTCATTTATTTCTGTAGGTACTAATAGAGCTACTATATTTCATTATTAATTCCAACACTACTAAAAATGCTTACATCCAATTGATTTCATTCAATATCCTTTAATTCATTAACTAATCCCTCTTTCCCTTATCTCTTTCTATATAATACATATTCTTAACTTCACCTCCTTCCCTCCTTCTTCATTTATTATCATAATTTATAACCGAAATTGATTACCAGCTACCCTTCTTTCTCCTTCCTTCCTTTACTTCCCTCCCTCCTTTTTCTTTTTTCTTCCTTCTTTCTTTTTTCCTTTCTTCCTTCCTTTCTCTCTTTTCCCTCCTTCCTTTTCTCTAATACTTATCCTACCTACCGATTACTTGGCTTTCATTGCACTTCTTTCCCTCCTTCCTTTTTTCCTTTCTTTCCTTTCCTTCTCCTTTTCTTTCCTTCTCTCTTTCTTCTCTCCCTTCCCTAATTCCTTGTTTCTTCCCTCCCTTTCTCTTCCCTCTCTTTCTTCTTTTCCTTCCCTTCTTTTTCCTTCCTTCCTTTTTTTCCTTCACTCCTCCCTCCTTCTCTTCCTTCCCTCCTTTACTTCCCTTCCTTCCTTCTTTCCCTCCTTCCCTTCCCTTCCTACCCTCCCTCCTTTCCTTTTCTTTCCCTTCTTTCTCCTTCCTTCCCTCCTTTACTTCCCTTCCTTCCTTCTTTCTTTCTCCTTCCTTCCCTTTTCTTTTCCTTCCCTTCCTTCTTTCCCTCCTTTCCTTCCTTTCCAAGTGGGGTTTATATAACTGTGGAATAATGTCCAAGGTGAGAGAAATAACTCTTGTCAGCTTGAGGGAAGTGTGAATGTTGCCATTGACCAGCTTGATTAGCATTGAATGGCCTTGCAGCTTCAAAGCCTGGTTGTTTCCTGCCTGGGGAAATCTTTTGTTGGGAGGTATTAGCTGGCCCTGATTGATTGTTTTCTGGAATTAACCTGCTCCTCTTTATTTACTGTCCTGATTTAAAGATTTTAAAATACTGGTAGCCAAATTCCCCCAGGCAGGAATCAGACAGTCTTTGAAGCTGAAAGGCCAGTCAATGCTAATCAAGGTGGTCAATTGCAATATTCGCACTTGCCTCATCCACACTAGAGTTCTTTCTCCCACCCTGGACACTATTCCATAGATATATAAACCCCATTTTCCTAATTTCCAACAGACCTCACAACCTCTGAGGATGCCTGCCATAGATCTGGGTGAAACGTCAGGAGAGAATGCTTCTGGAACATGGCCGTACAGCCCCGAAAACTCACAGCAACCCAGTGATTCCAGCCATGAATGCCTTTGACAACACATCACAAGCAATATTTACTGAAAAACTGTATGAAATTGGGAGAAGTGCTTGAATTAGCATAAAACGCTGTAGTATATATTGGAGTCTGATGGAGTCTCCCTCTCTGGAGGTGTTTCAGCAGAGACTGGATGGCTATCTGTCGGGAATGCTTTTATTGTGTCTTCCTGAACAGGACTAGTTCCTGTGATGTTTTGACTACACAAATCAGGGATAGAGTTAGGGTTCTGAGGCTGAAAGGGGAATTAAAAAGCAAACAAACCATTGTATAAGCCAAGCAAACAGAAAATAGGTGTGTGTGTGTCATATTATATGTGTATATATGTTTGCCTGTCTATTTGTACCACAAAATATGTTGCTAATGGAAGTGGCCCTCTGTGCCACTGGATCGGTTGTTGATAGGGCCATTTGTGATGTTACTGGGGCAGCAAGGTGACATATGTATGAGGGAAAGGGAAGAAGGAAAGGAAGGAAGGAGAAAAAGAAGGGAAAGAAAGGAAAGGGGGGGAAAAGTAAAAAGAAGGGAAAGGAAAGGAGAAGAAAGCAAAAGGAGGAAAAGAGGAAAGTGGGAGGAGGGAGAATGTAAGAAAGCAAAAGGGAAAAGAAGGAAAGAGGAAGGGAGGGATAGAGGGGGATGAAAGCAAAAGGAGGGAAAGAAAGTGAAAGGAGGGAGGGCTGGCTTTAGCACAGCGGATTAATCACCTGCTGCAGCTGCACTAAATCTTGCCAACCGAAAGGTTGACAGTTCAAAGGCAGGACAGGGTGAGTTCCTGACCTTCAATCCAGCTCCCCACCCACCTAGCAGATTGAAAACAGCAATGTGAGTAGATGAATAGGAACCACATTAAGCAGGGAGGTATCTTAGGCACAGCATTTAGGAGGGAGGTTTATGAACAATTTGGCAAGGAGATGGAACAGCACCTCCCTGTGGCTGGAACCGAGCACAGCCTCCAAAAATGCCGAATGATGAGAAAAAGCCTATATATACCTCTATCTGTTGTCTGTCTTGTCATTGTACAATTGGCATTGTATGTTTGCCATATATGTGTTCTGTGATCAGCCCTGAGTTCCAATTGGCATTGTATGTTTGCCATATATGTGTTCTGTGATCCTCCCTGAGTTCCAATTGGCATTGTATGTTTGCCATATATGTGTTCTGTGATCCGCCCTGAGTTCCAATTGGCATTGTATGTTTGCCATATATGTGTTCTGTGATCCGCCCTGAGTTCCCTTTGAGCCGAGAAGGGCAGAAAAAGTACTGTAGATAAATAATAAATAAATAAATAGGATGTAAGAAAGCAAAAGGACATAAAGAAAGGCAAGGAGCAGGAAGAAGAAAGCAAAAGACGTGAAAGGCAAGAAAGGAGAAGGGAGGTGGGAAGAAAAAAGGAGGGAAAGAATGAAAAGAGGAATGGAGGGGGGAAGAAATCAAAGGGAGGGAAAGAAAGGAAAAGAGAAGGGAGGGATAAGGGGGGAAGAAAGTTAAAGGACGAAAAGAAAGGAAAAGGGGAGGAGAGAGGGGGAAGAAAGCCAAAGAAGGGAAAGAAAGAAATAGGGAGATGAGAAGAAAACAAGAGGAGGGAAAGAAAGGAAAGTAGAAGAGAGGGATGGAAGGGGAAGAAAGCAAAAGGAGAAAAAGAAAGGAGAAGAGAGGGATGGATGGGGAAGAAAGCAAAAGGAGAGAAAGAAAGGAAAGGAGAAGGGCGAGATGGAGGGGTGAAGGAAGTAAAAAGGGAAACAAGAAAGGAGAAGAGAAGAAGGAAGGTGAGAAGAAAGCAAAAGGTGGGAAAGAAAGGAAATGAGAAGGGAGAGATCGAGAGGTGAAGAAAGTAAAAGAAGGGAAACAGGAAAGGAGAAGAGAGGTAGGGAGGGGAGAAGAAAGTAAAAGGGAAGAAAGGAAAAGGAGAAGAGAGGAAGGATGGGGAGAAGAAAGCAAAAGGAGGGAAAGAAAGGAAAGGAGAAGGAAGGGATGGAGGGGAAGAAAGCCAAAGGAGGAAAAGAAAGGAAAGGAGAAGAGAAAAGTTGAATTGAGGGGGGAAGAAAGCAAAAGGTGGAAAAGAAAGAAGGAAGAGATGGAAGGATGAAGAAAGTAAAAGGAAACAAAGGAAAGGAGAAGAGAGGAAGGAAGGGGAGAACCAAGCAAAAGGAGGGAAAGAAARGAAAGGCGAAGGGAGAGATGGAGGGGTGAAGAAAGTAAAAGGAAACAAAGGAAAGGAGAAGAGAGGAAGGAATGGGAGAAGAAAGCAAAGGGAGGGAAAGAAAGGAAAGAAGTGATGAACCGAGTAAGGAAGGAAGCAAAAGGAGGGAAAAGGAAGGAAAGGGAGTGGTCCCAATGACCCCCAGGCAAGCTGGGTATATAAGCTATTATACTGTAAATGTATAAGGATACTTTATTATGAAGACAGGAAACTCAGAATCCCTTACAACTCGTATGACACTCAACATTAATTCTGGACTGGAACCTTAATCCACACTCAGGACATCGGTATGGTTCCTCTCCAGGTGTGTTCTCTGATGCCTCTTCACCTGCTGGCTCCGGCTGAAGCTTTTGCCACAGTCCAAACATTTGTACGGCTTCTCCCCCGTGTGAATCCTCCGGTGGTTCCTCAGGTCGCTTCCCTGAATGAAACATTTCCCACACTCGGGACACTTGTACGGCTTTTCCCCCGTGTGGATGCGCTGGTGTTTCTTCAATATGCCTTCCTCGTTGAAGCACTTCCCACACTCGGAGCACTTGAATGGCTTCTCTCCGGTGTGGATCCTATGGTGCCTCTTCAGATTCCTGGCCCCCGTGAAGCTCTTCCCACACTCGGGGCATTTGTACGGTTTCTCCCCGGCGTGCATCAGTTCGTGACTCTTCAGGTATTTTCTCTGACTGAAGCACCTACCACACTGAGAACATTCGTACGGTTTGATTTCCGCGTGCATCTCCTGGTGCCTCAACAACACCGGCCTGGAAGTGAAGACTTTGCCACACTCCGGACAGTCATGGACTCTCTCTCCGGGATACGAATGGGTCAATAAGTGTTCTCTTTCACTACGGCACTGATCACAAGGAGAAGATTCGTGTAGCCTTCCTTCGCTAAAAAGTCCCGGATGTCTCTTTAGTGGCTTTGTATAATTGAGAGTCCTTCCCCAGTCAGGGGGATATTTTGGTTCAACGTGATTGAGCTTGTCTTTTGTGTGGTGACTCGGGTGTCTGTTCAAATAAACTCCCCTCTCGGATAATTTAGATTTACACTCCCCTGAAGTCATTCTCTGGGGGATATCACAATACGAATTCTGCTGGAAGTCCTCATTGATATGTATCATATCAAGCTCTAGCTGATCCAAGGATGTTCTGTCACCCTTGGCCATGAATGGCAGGCCACCTCTTCCAGGAACTTTCAAAGTCTGGCAAACTGGAGACGTAAACGGTGTTGTGAGATCATTGCATCTGCTTGATCTCTCCATCAGTTGACTTCTCTGTTCCTCTTGCATACCGCCTTCCTGCCCTCTGCCTTGAATTATATGTGGGGTCATCTCAAATGTGTCTTCCGACTCATTTCTTCCATCCTCACAGTTCTCTGTCTTGACCATACTCATTTCTCTGCCATCTGTAGAGACAGAGCATGGAATTTGGCTCATTCTAGGTTGACTGTTTTTCAAAATGTCTGTAAACTTGGTTATTCATTTCGTAAACTAGTGTATATACCTGGCTTCATGCTTTCTCCCTTCTCCTGCTCTGTAAAGGCCTACCTCACAATGTCTCTGCTATGCACTCTGACAACGATGGCCAGGCTGCCTGTGTGGCTATTTCTATCCTTGCCCCATTTCCCTCATACACCATCCTCCCTCTTCTTTCTTTCATTCTTTCCTTTCTCTTCCTGACCTTTCTTTGTCCCTTCCCTTTCCTCATACCTTTTCCCTTTCCTATCTCTTCCTTTCCCCCTTATTTTTCTTTCTTCCCCTTTTCTACCTGTCAGAAATATTAAAATTAACTGGGCATTTTTGATTACAAAAGTGTGAGTCAAGCACTGAAAGAGTTGGTAGGTAGAAGCCTGCTAGAGTCAGTGGGCCAAAGCTACTGTCGTCCTGAGGAGAGTTAGTAGACCGAAGCCTGTTAAGAGTCAGTGGGCCAAAGCTAGTGTCGTCCTGAGGAGAGTGAGTAGGCTGAAGCCTGTAAAAGTTAGTGGGCCATAGCAAGTGTTGTCCTGAGGAGAATGAGTAGGCTGAAGCCTGTTAAGAGTTAGTGATCCAAAGCTAGTATCATCCTGAGGAGTGTGAGGTAAACCTCTGTCTGAGAGAATGCCTCAGTGGGAGAATAGGCCTCACTGTTAATAGGCCTTGTAATGTGAGGCACACCTCGTTATGAGAAGGCTTTGTGTTTCCCCTTGATATTAAATCTAGTTGTGTTTGAGTCTAAGTGGTGGTACTCATCTTCATTTCTAAGCCAAAGAGCCAGCATTGTCTGTAGACACCTCCAAGGTCATGTGGCCAATATGACTGCATGGAGCGCCATTACCTTCCTGCCTGATCTACTCACATTTGCATGTTTTTGAACTGCTAGGTTGGCAGAAGTTGGAGCTAACAGGAGGAGCTCACCCTGCTCTCCAGATTCGAACAGGTGATCTTTCAGTCAGCAAGTTCAGCAGCTCAGTGGTTTAACCAGCTGCGCCACCATCGGCTCCATACATACTGTGTGTGTGTGTGTATATATATATATATATATATATATATAGCTCTGCGAGTGCAGCGTTTTTCTGAATGAAGCAGAGAGTGTTTGAGGATGGGACATCCGTAGGGATACCAAGGTGCTTGTTTATAAAGCTATTGTCCTCCCAACCCTGCTATATGCCTGACGAGACGTGGACTGTCTACAGACGTCACATGCAACTCCTGGAACGATTCCATCAGCGCTGCCTCTAAAAAATCCTGCAAATCTCTTGGGAAGACAAGCGGACAAATGTCAGCATGCTGGAAGAAGCAAAGACCACCAGCATTGAAGCAATGGTCCTCCGCCATCAACTCCGCTGGACCAGCCACATTGTCCGGATGCCCGACCACCGTCTCCCAAAGCAGTTGCTCTACTCCGAACTCAAGAACAGAAAACTGAATGTTGGTGGACAGGAAAAGAGGTTTAAAGATGGGCTCAAAACCAACCTTAAAAACTCTGGCATAGACACTGAGAACTGGGAAGCCCTGGCCTTTGACCGCTCCAGTTGGAGGTCAGCTGTGACCAGCCATGATGTAGAATTTGAAGAGGCACAAATCGAGGGTGAAAGAAAGAAACGTGCCCCGACCGAGACCGTCTTCCACCTGGAAACCAATGCCCTCACTGTGGGATAAGATGCAGATCAAGAATCGGGCTCCACAGTCACCTATGGGCCCACCGCCAGAACACTGAACTTGGAGGACCATCATCCTCGGAGTACAAGGGATCACCTAAGTAAGCATATTGCTTTGTGTTTCTTTATGACTCCATAAAGATGAGTATGTCTTATAATATAAATCTTCCTCTTTTATCCTAGACCCTTTTTTTTGCAAAATCTCTTGGGAAGGCAAGAACAGTATTAGGTGTATTTTAGATTAACTAAATATTTGCAAGCAGCACTTGTGAAAGGATTGTTTGTTCACACACCCACTCAAAGACTGCCTGAGTTCACACTTTTCACCCAGCATTTGGTACAGAATTTCATTTAAAAATACTGGAAATGGAATACGATTCATTTTTGCCTAGCATGTCTTCCAGATCATATTTTTGACTTTAGACTTGGCCCTTTTTGACTATTTGACCTTCTCTGTTCTAACAAGAGTGAGCAATATGGCCACCGGGGTACCAGAACTGAACAAAGGACATCCTTACCCAAAGTATCTACCTTCCTGCCGTTCTCTTGCAGGACTTCCCAGACAACCGTCTGTTGACCTGGATGGGTGAGGCCTCGCTGGACTATTTGCAAAGACAAACTGGTTTCGTTGGGATCCATTGGCTCCTGTGAAAAAGGGAAAAAAATAAAACAAAGATGAATGCAATCTTCATAAACTTATCCAGAAATGCTATCCTCCAGAAGATGAGGAGGGTGCCTTCACAACACAGCGCAGTCAAACTAAATGATGGACTATATTGGAGGCCCCTTCTTTGGAAGCTTTTAGACAGAGGCTGGATGGCCATCTGTCAGAGGTGATTTGAATGCAATATTCCTGCTTCTTGGCAGGGGGTTGGACTGGATGGCCCATGAGGTCTCTTCCAACTCTTTGATTCTATGATTCTAGGAGGCAAGCAGGAAGGGAAAGGTCCTAATCCCTCTCCATCTATCCAACTCACACTAAGAGATCAAGAGAGCAGCAACAATAAGTACAGAAACTGCAGTGTCTTCCAACAAAGCTGTTGATATACAGAAACACTGTGTGAGCAGCCCATAGCAGCCCAAACGTACGTCAACAAATCCTCAGAACGCCACATACCTCCTTGACACCAGTGTTGATCACTTCCTGTCCTTCATGAGAATGGGACGAATCTGCATGACTGAGGCATTTGATTCCACCGCCTGTGAAAGAGAGAATGCGGATGCCAGAAAAGAAATGATTCCATCCCTTCATCTTTAGGTCCCAGCCAGAGTTATTTGAGATCATAACCTTTTGGAAAACCAGAATCTCCAAAGCCCTTTGGAAGCGTGACCTTTGGGAGATTAATTGGCATTGGAAAAACCATAACCTTTTTGGAAAGTATGATCTTCCTGAGAAGAGTTAAAAACCTTCTCCTTAGTGAGAAATATCAACTAGTATACATGCAAGGCTAATTAGGCTTCTCAGTTGTTAGACTGATATACCTGGCTATCTTTTTGAACTGTTAGAAACAAAGAATATGCCAATGCACAAAAATGTATAGCAGATCTTCAGAAGTGTTATTTCAGTTGCCCCAAAACATCTACTTTCGCATAAAATGTATTTGGTTTGAAATCATGCTCTCAAGAGACAAAAATAAGTAGTCTTCGTTAAAAATGACATAGTTGGTTTACTTACAAACTTCATGTATTCAGCATACAGGTACACTGCTTGTTAGTTGAAAGTTTAAACAGTAAGTTCTCTAAGGCATTCTGTTGCAGTCTCTACTCTGTCTTATATTTAATACATACTCTCTTAATGCAAACTGAACAATACTTATTAATTAATTATTTAGTATATTTATATACCACTTTTCTCATCCCTGGGGGGACTCAAGGCAGTTTACAACATATTCATGGCAAGAATTCAATGCTAACATACATATCATAAAATAAAATCACAATAACTTGTCATGACCTTATTTCCTGGTTTTGTGTGAAGCCAAGAAATTAGGCCATGGCTTTGACCTGTCCTGTGGTCCTGTGTATATTTGAAATCTAGGAGAGGGTTGCCATGGAAACTGGAGCAATGCAGGGGAGCAGCCAGGGTGAGACATGAGGGAAATAAACTGTCAGTTGGAACTTTGTTGTGTTCCCTAATGCATGCTTTTGAATTAAAGCCTTCCAACTTTGTGAGCCAATTTCTTCGCCAGAAAGCTACAGATCCAGACATAAACACTGACATATAACTATAAATTAAAATTAAATTAAAACCATTAAACATAGGCATATATGACATGTAGACACTAAGACAAAGCATTAAAAACATCCTAATATAAATATTAAAATCACATGATCCAAAAATCACCCGCCGTGGCCTAAACACAACTGACTATACAAAAACTGACTTGAACACAACACTGACTTCTAAAATGGAGTCGCAGTGTGAATGATCCCAGATCTGATCACGTGGTTTCCAGTCCTTCCCACAACCTCAAACAACATAGAGTTAAGGGGAAACTGCATACCAAGACACACATATACAATATAGTAAGCAAAATGAATTATATACATTATATACAGTATAGGAGGCTAGTAGAAGGTTGACATTTCCAACAGTATGAAGGTTTTATTGAAATTCAGTGCACCTCTGCTTTAAAAACAAAATTTGAATCTATGCAACCAAATGATTTTGGGGTGGGATTGACAAGTATATAGCTGTCAGTAGCTGGAAAGGCTATCTGAGCAATGCTCCCCTTCATGTCCACCTACTAATGCGAATCAGACTTTCTAACTTAGGTTGACACCAAAAAGAAATTTAGAAGTGAGTTAGACGCCTCCCCGGGTTTACATATTCAGCAGTCAGACATAAAGCCCAATTTCAAAGCTATTTCAAGTACAAAAATGAAACAATTTCATTCATCACTTTAGATGTGAATATTTTCTTGTACCAAAACAAACCTTTTTGAAAGAAAGGGGGGATATATGCACTTTAAATAAACATATTAACACTGTTAAACAGTCAGATTCTTTTAAAAAAATGCTATAACTTGAAAAGCTTGAGTTGTAAACTGATCACGTTGGAAGTCTTGGATGCACATAATTGCAGGACAAGCTGCATCTGCCTAAATCCTCTTTTCTGTAAGGCCACCATAGATGCAGAGCCTTTCATTAGCCCAAGCATCCCAAAAATACAAGGACAAACATGGGGAAACTCAGTAAAACCCTTACCAGGCACACTGATCTCTGTGTCACCATTTTGTTTGACTTCTTTATAGAGCTCTGAAGGCTCTTCCTCTTTACCTGGAGAATCCAGGCACTCCTCCATCAGTGTTCCCTGAAACATAAAGGAGAATTGTGCTGAGAACAGAGGGACACTGATGGAAAATGATTGCTTTTTGGCTACAGCAACCCCCTCTGTTTTGTAAGTAAAGGTGGATTATGTATGTATATATGTATGTGTGTGTGTTTGTGTGTGTGTGTATCCACAGATAGCTATATTAGCCAAGCAATAAAATACAACACAAGGTTTGTATCATTGGGAGAAGTATTTGTGGTTTCATTGATCTGCAATCTATGACTGTTCTTCCTCGCCTTTTCCTGAAGTTTCATCTGTCCACACAAAATTCAAGAACATGTTCCCAGTGGATACAGAGGTCCTACTGTATGGCAAAACACCCCCCCCCCCCAAAAAAAAAAACCTTTAGTGATACCTTTTTATTAGGCCAATCCAAAGGCACATAATATTGTAAACACTCTCAAAGCTCACAGGCTTCTTTATCAGGAATATATGCTTAAAGCCTTTTTGGGGGAGAACTTGGTGACAAGAGGCCACAGAGCTCCATCTTTCTTGAGATGTTAAAGCTGTATTTCAAATAGTGGCATTGGATTTTGGATGAAGGTAAATATCCTTGCTGGCCACAAGGCATTCAAGACACAAAAATGTACTGCTTTGCTTTACTTTTGTTTCTTGAGCTTTAGGATTTCAAGAAAGATGGGTGTCTGTAACTACAATTATAATACTAATAATACTTTTCCATGGTCACACTTTTAACATATATGCCTGATAAAGAAGCTTGTGGGGTGTGTAAATACCTGAAATAAGCTATATATCATATTTTTTGAAATATAAATGGAAGGGTTTCATGGGATGTTGTGTCCCTTTACATTTTGTTATTACAATTTATATCTTAAAAGGGGTTGGTTTAATAATAATAATAATAATAATAATAATAATAATAATAAATAATAATAAATAATAATAAATAATAATAATAATAATAATAATAATAATAATAATAATACTTTATTTGTGGACCACCCTATGTCCTGGAAAACTCTGGTTTGTTATTAAAAATGAACTACTGCGTTCCCTAATAATACAGTGTCTATACAACAGTGCAACTAATGTGAAATGTTCGAAAGGCTCTGCTCTAGGTTTTCTTTTGTATATATTTTTATTGAGGGTTTTTACACATAAACAATAAAAAATAGATATTAGTACTTTTGGGGAGGGTGAAGGAAAGAAAAGTGGGGAAGAAAAAAAGGAGGGTTTTTCAATATTAAAACTTTACCTGCCACTTTCGCCGCTCGGCCTCTTGCTGGCACATCATGAAATCCTCCACCAGTGCCACAGCCTGAGAGCAACTATCAGGTCCTCCAGCTCGGATCCAGCCTTGAAGATCTGGAGGGAGGCTGGCCAGGAATTGTTCCAGAATTAGCAGCTCCAGGATCTGCTCCTTGCTGCGTCTCTCTGGCTTCAGCCACTTACAGCAAAGCTCCTGGACTTGGCTGTAAACCCTTCGCGGATCCCCAACCTCTTGGCAGCAGAACTGCCGGAAGTGTTGACGCTCTGCCTCTATTTTCAGGGCATCTGCTCTCAAGATAGCAGCCTTCACTTTTCCATAATCCTCCCTGTCTCCGGCCCCCAGCCTCCGAAAGGCCTGCTCTGTTTCTCCGCTCAATGCTGGCAACAACCGGGCTGCCCACTCTTCCTTTGGCCACCGACAGGCTTTGGCCACTTGCTCGAAGGAGGCCAGGAAGGCTTTGGCGTCTTCCCACGAGACAGTTTCTGTTGTCACTTGCTTCTTCCACCCATTGTGGAGAGGCTGCAGTGTTTCCAAGAACTCCTGCCACTGGGCTTCCCAGCGCTCGTGCATCCCTTTGAATGGCTCTTCTTTGCTCTCGAAGGATGCTACTAATCCTGGTTGCTCTGTGAGACACTCAGACAGAACGTCAGTGGTGGCTTTCCTGAGTCCAGCTCGTCCGCCTTCTGGTTCCCGAGCTGCAGACATTCCCTCTTTCATGGCTTGCGGTTCTAGAACTAGGAGTATTCTGAAATCAAAGCAGGCATGAGAGAATATTTTAGAGATTAAGATTGAGGTAGAAAAGCCCTTAGACATGGGGCAACTTTGGCCCTCCCTCCAGATGTTTTGGACTTCAACTCCCACAATACTGGCTGTTACGACTTGTGGGAGTTGGAAGTCCAAAACACCTGGAGGGAGGGCCAAAGTTGGCCCATGCTCTGAGCAGCACAAACTGATATAACCCAGTTCAAGGGAGACAACCTGAAGTCTGAAACTTCCTTCTATGGCAGCATTTCTCAAACTGGGGGTTGGGACCCCTGAGGGGGTCACAAGGAGGTTTCAGAGGGGTCACCAAAAACCATTGAAAACATATATTTCTGATGTTCTTAGGAACCCCTTTGGCAGAGAAGATCTCTCCACCTGTCTTCTCTTCCTTTTTGGAAACAAAGGCATATCCTCCACCAAAGGCCCTCCTCTGCTGTGACTGGCTGGCCTCTCAGCCAAGGGGAGGACACCAAGTGGGGAGGGGAGAGCAAGGCGTGCTCAGCGCATGACAGCATGGTGCGCAAGCGAGGGAGGGTGTACGAGGCTGGAAGGAGGCTCGCAACAGTGAGTGCCTTTAAGACATGGGGGTTCTGTATGGGAAGTTTGGTCCAATTCTATCATTGGTGGGGTTCAGAATACTCTGGTTGTAGGTGAACTATAAATCCCAGCAACTACAACTCCCAAATGCCAAGGTCTATTTTCCCCAAATGCCACCAGTGTTCACATTTGGGCATGTGGAGTATTTGTGCCAAGTTTGGCCCAGATTGATCATTGCTTTTTGTCCACAGTGCTCTCTGGATGTAGATGAACTACGAGGGTTGAATGAAAAGTTATGCCTCCACCTTCGTTACTTGGGTTTGGATGGGAATATTTTAGTAAATCAAATGCAGAAATAATCCTTAGAATGTGCTCTTTAGCGACCACTATTCACTTTTCCACACAATTACCAGACAATTGGATTAATTTCTGTCAACAATGAACAAGTTTTCTGAAGCCGTCACAGAAGAAGTCTATGTGCTTTCATTTCAGGCGTCAGCATCCTGGATACCCATTGTGCACAGATCTTTCGATAGCTAAGCAAAGCAATAATGTGACCCACACGTTCTTGTGAAATGCCGACTATGCTTGAAATTTCTCCCTGAGCAATACGACGATCGTCCTGAATCAATCTGTCAACGTTTTGCTTGTGAAAGTCGGTGGTTGTTGTCACAGGACGTTCAACTCTTGTTTGTCACGCAAGTCAGATGTTCCCACTTCAAAATCTTTAAGCTTACTCGCCCAACGACATACAGTACTCACATCAACACAATCAGCTTGCATTCTCTGATTAATCTCCTTTGGGGTGACACCTTCTGCTGTCAAGAATTCAATGACTGCACGTTGCTTTAGTCGCATTGACTGACTCAGTGGTCGGTCAATGCGAACCCATATGATCCTTAAGATCTTCCGGGGAAGCTCTTCTATTGCTCCCACCCCTGTCTCAGACGCGTTTGGTGGGGACGAGAGAAAGGGCATTCTCAGTGGTGGCCCCGTTTCTGGAACTCCCTCCCCAGGGATATTAGGCTGGCACCCTCCCTAGCCACATTCTGCAAGGAAATAGAGATGTGGATGGTTCGTCGTGCTTTTTACTCCTATGACCTGTATTGTGACCTGAGTCATCATTTAATCTGAATTCCTATATTACATTATTATTCATATTTTAAGTTAAACTGAATTGATTCTGAACCTGTTAAATTGCTCTGTTTTCATTATATTTCCTATACTATTATACGTTTCTATCCATCTTATTGAACCACTTACCCTTTAATCAGCTTGCATATTGGCCTCCTTCAAAATTAGTCTGTTGTTGCTTGATGCTTGTTTATTATTGTTATGCTGTTTTATGCTATATTAAATTGTAATTTGTTATTGTTCTGCTTTTGATTGTATGTTGCCTTGGCTTGGCCCCATGTAAGCCACCTGAGTCCCCTCGGGGAGATGGAGGTGAGATAGAAAAATAAAGTTCTTCTTCACATTTTAGCAACACAACTGAGTCTACTGAACAAGCCAGTACCTGCAACATACCAATCCTGCCATCTGTTGAGGAGTTATGAAGGTGGAGGCATTACTTTTCATTCAATCCTCGTATATTATTTCTATACATTGTCTGTCTATATAAACATACAGAAAGCCAAGTATTTGGAATCTGTACAATGAGGCAACATCTTGACATCTCAGAGATATTACTATTAGTATTATAGTGGCAGAAGCCCCTGTGGTCTTTGCCCTCTCTCAGACTCCTCGGGATCTTGAATATCTGGACTTCCTCCATTTCCCCACCTTTTGGCTGACAGAACTTTTGGTCCCAGCTGATTCTAGAGCAATGTTTCTAAACCTTGGTGTTGGGACCCCAGGAGGGGAGGTTGCAAAGAGGGTTTCATGGGGGTTGCCAGAGACTATAAGAAAAAACGTATTTCTGATGGTCTTACGAACCCCTTTGGAAGCGACTGTAACTCTCAAATGACAAAATCAATCCCCCCACCAGTATTCAAATCTGGGTGTATCAGGTATTTGTGCAAAATTTGGTCCAGATCCATAGTCGTTTGGGTTCACAGTGCTCTCCAGGGGTAGGAGAACTACATCTCATCTAAATCACTGTCAATTCCTCCCAAATCCTTCCAGTATTTTCTGTTGGTCATGAGGATTCTGTGTGGGAAGTTTGGCTCAATTCTATCGTTGGTGGGGTTCAAGGGGATCTTCGATTGTAGGTGAACTATTAATACCAGCATCTACAACTCCTAAATGTCAAGGTCTATTTCCCCCAAACTCCACCAGTGTCCACATTTGGGCATATTGAGTATTTGTTCCAAGTTTGGTTCTGATCCATTATTATTATTATTAAACTTTATTTGTACCCCGCTAACATCTCCCGCAGGACTCGATGTGGCTTACAAAGGCCAAGGCCTCAACACAACAACAACAAAACAATAACAATACAATTTAAAGCAAATTAAAACATAAGCAATACAAAACATTACATCATTACGCAATAAAAACCAGGGCCGGGCCAGTGATAGGTACAGGTTAAAAGTGCTGGGTGTGGCAGGAGGTATGTTGGATTGCCGGGCAAGTGCAATGTGCAGAGAGTCTTAAACTCTAATAAAGTGCTTCTGGGACGTAGTGCTGGAGATTATCCTATTCCGGAAAGGCACATTGGAATAGCCAGGTCTTCAGATTCTTCCTGAAGACTGCCAATGTGGGTGCTAGTCTAATGTCTTTGGGGAGGGTGTTCCAGAGTCGGGGGGCAACCACAGAGAAGGCCCTGTCCCTCGTCCCCACCAAACGCGCCTGTGACGCAGGTGGGATCGCAAGCAGGGCCTCTCCGGATGAACGAAGGGAGCGCGTGGGTTCGTACACGGAGAACTCATTGTTTGAGTTCACAGTGCTCTCTGGATGTACATGAACTACAACTCCAAAACTCAAAGTCGATGCCCACCAAACCCTTCCAGTATTTTCTGTTGGTCATGGTTCTGCGTGCCAAGTTTGGTTCAATTCCATCGTTGGCGGAGTTCAGAATGCTCTTTGATTGTAGGTGAACTATACATCCCAGCAACTACAACTCCCAAATGACAAAATCAATCTTCCCACAACCCTACCAGTATTCCAACTTGGGTGTATCGGGTATTTGTGCCAAATGAATGAAAATACATCCTGTAGATCAGATATTTTGCATTACCATTCATAACAGTAGCAAAATTACAGTTGTGAAGTAGCAATGAAAACAATGTTATGGTTGGGAGTCAGCACAACATGAGGAACTGCATTAGGAAGGTTGAGAAACACTGTTCTATGGCAAGGCAGAACTCCCCCCTCTCTCTCCCTCCTTCTCCTTCTCCTCCAATCTCCCTTTCCCTCTTCCTCTCTCCTTTTCCCCTTCCTTTCACCTGCAAAACTCTCAGCTGTTGGGTATCTCCACTTGAGAAGCATCTCCCAGGAAGGCCGGAATTATAGAGTCTGCAGCCCATTCCTCCAAAAGTGGCCAGACCGTCTCCCAGAAGGCTCTCTGGCAGCAGAACTCTATTGTTCCGGTTGCTGCTCCCTTCTGTCCCCACTGTTTGGGAAGTAGACTGCATCTCTATTGAGTGGAATGAAATCAGTGCAGTTTGCTGAGACACCAGCACTCTTGGGCAGAGGAGGCTAAAGGCCTTGGGAAACTACAACTCCAACTAGATTCTCAGGCCCCTTCCAGATAGCTGAATAAAATCCCACATTATCTGCTTGGAACTGGAACATATGGCAGTGTGGACTCAGATAACCCAGTTCAAAGCAGATATTGTGGGATTTTTCTGCCTTGATATATTCTGGATGATATGGCTGTATGGCCTATATCTGGCAGCCTTCTTGGCCAGAGTTCTAGTGTCTCACCAAACTACAACTCCCGTGATTCCATAGTGCTGGTGCAAACTACAAATCCCAGGATTACATATTAAGTCATGACCATGAAAGGGATGTCAAAACTGCATCCATTCTATAGCAAAATCCAAGCAAAAAGTGGATCCTAGAAACAATATCATACGAAAGCTGACTGGCACAACCTGGGGATCACAACCAGACACAGTGAAGACAT